ACATTGACCTGCTGCAGGCGTTTTCTGTGCTTTTTGTGTGCATTGCAATAACATCGGATCTGGTGTGTTTGTTCTTCATACCCGTACATTGGCTGCTTTTTGCAGCCAGCACATACGTCTGGGTGCAGTACGTTTGGCATACAGGTGCGTTAAATAATAATAATTAATATGATTGTTTTTGTTTAAATATTCGCCATGCTATCAACTTGTTGCAGATAAGGGCATTTGCTTGCCGACTATAATACTCTGGATGTTGTTTGTCTACCTGGAGGTGGGCATTCGATGGAAAGACAGTCGACATATGCCGCATTTAGATCTATGCCGACCTTTTGCAGCGCATTGGTGAGTACCGACCGAGTGATTCAGTGTCCTATATACTTAAGCTGATCGCCTGTCTTTTATCTATAGCATTGGCTATCCGGTGGTTACGCTCGGGTTTGGCTTTAAAAGCTACGTAGGCTATCGTATGCGCCAGCGCAAGCAGCGCGAAGTAGCAAAAGAGAATGAGTTCTATATGCAGCTACTGCAGCAGGCGCTGCCTGCCGAGGAGGCTACCGAAGAGGCACAGATATCAGGTGCCACAGTGGTGAGCGCTGCAGCCAACAGTGCAGTCGTTGTGCCCAATGGCACCGGAGGGGCGCCGGCAGCGCTGACCACATCGTCCACATCGCAGGCGAATGGTATTTTGGCATCTGCAGCACAAGCACAAAATCATCACGATCATCATCATGGCGGCGGCGCCGGCAGCAGTGGCAGCAATAATAATCATCATCACCATCATCACCATAACAACAACAACAACAATAACAACAGCACCAGCAGCAGCAACAGTCATCACACCAAGGATAACAGCACCAGCGACAGCAGCACAATGACTGCAGCAACGGCATCAGCAGTAGCCGCTGCAGCAGCTTCCTCATCATCGCCCGCATCTCCGTCATCGTCCACTAACACATCGGCCTCGGTAACAGCCAGGCAATCAAATGCAGCAACATTAGCAGCAGCGACAACAACAGGTGCAGCATTTATTAGCATTACTTTCAATAGCTTAACGCGCCCAATATTCGTAAAACATTCCAAATTTTTACGGCTTATCCATATGCTTATAATCGTGTATGTATACATTCATGTATATGTATTTATGCCGTGTAATCGACAATAACAAAAGTCCTGGCAACCACATGGATATGGTGCCTATTTCCGTATAAATATATACACAGCAAACAAAAATATCGTTGAAAATCAATAATATTCTATTTATAAATAAATGTTTTTGCATATATGTTTGCAGCAACCTCAAATGGTCATGTTGGCGGTGGCTCAAGGAATCATCGGCGTAGCATGGACAAGGAAAAGCATCGTAACAAAGGCGATGCAGCCGACAATGAGCACAACAATAGCACGCGGCATGGCGGAAAGAATAGCAACAGCAACAGCAATACCAGCTATCAGCAAGTGGATGGCAATGCAACCACAACAAGTAATAAGGAGAAGTCAGACTGGGATAGTAGCAATAGCAACTATCAACAACAACAACAACAACAGCAGCAACAGGGGGCAAAGGACAAACAGGGTGCATTGAACAAAAAGAAAACGCTTTATTCGAAGCAAATTGATATCGCCCCCTTGCTTGCAGACAAAAAGACGCACAATGCTGTCGGCAACGGCAACGTCCTGCAGTTCGAGACAGATGAGGCAGCGGTCGTTGCGGAATCAGTGCCTCAAGTAGAGAAGGCGCCGAAAGGTAAGTGGCTTAACTTGAATATACTAAGTGATGGGACAATGTTATATAAAACTCTTTCTCTCTCTCTTGTCTTGCAGGCCGCCGCAATCGCGGTAAGAAGGATAACTCAGCCAAAGACAATCATAGCCAGCAGCAGTCGCAGAATAAGGAGACTGCAGCTACTGCCGCACCTGCTGCAGTAACTAATACCAGTAATAACAATAATAACAACAACAACAACAACAACAACAATGATGCCAGCTCCGTATCCTCGTCGGCCAGCTCAACATCGAGCAATGCAACAGCTGCCGCCATCTCGCACATAGCCAGCAAAGTGGTATCCAAGATATGCGAAACATGTCTCAAGCTGGAGGCCGACGTTAAGAAATATCGTGCCGAAATCAGCCATATGAAGCAAATCGAGAACGAACTCCGCCAAAAGCTTGACGTGAATCTGACCAGCAAGTCCAGTTTGCAGGCCAAGCAAAAGGAGTGCGATGAGCTTGAGAAGCGCATACAGGAGCTTAACAATGCACGCCATGCCGATATGCTCAGTCTGCAGACTGTGGAGCGTCGCCTCAACGAGGAGCGCCGCCAGAAGCAATCTCTTGACGCTCAGCTGGCCAACGAAAAGAAGGCACGCAAGGCCGCCGAGGAGAAAGCTGCACGTCCTGAGTGCAGCGTTCAATGCAAGCAGCGGCGCCAGCAAATGGACGAGGAACTAAAGCGTGTTCGCAGCGATCTCAAACAGACCGAGGAAGCTAAGCAGATGGCCGTGGATCACGGCCGGAAGTTCGAGCAAGAGGTGGGTTGGACCAGCAGACTTCGTTTCTTCGATTGCCATAACTAAGCTCTATTTTCCTTACAGTATCGTATGCTGGAAGTGAAGGTACACAATCGCGAGTCCACACAGGCGGATGCAGAAATGCTAATGAATGCACTGGCTTCCATGCAAGAAAAGAACAGCACGCTGGAAAAGAATCTATCCGCAGAGACGAGAGTTAAGCTGGACTTATTCTCGGCTCTGGGCGCGGCCAAGCGCCAGCTAGAAATATCTGACAGTATGTAGTCTTGGCAGTGGACTTCGAACGCATGTTATAAACAAATATTTTTCACTTTCAGGTCATCGTCGGTCCAAGGAGGATGAGGTCATTGATCTCAAGGCCAAGATAGCACAGCTGCTGGCTGTTATGCCGGATACACTGTGCCTGAACACGGGAGCACATGGTCCCGGCGGAAGCATGCTGCGCATGAACGACACACCTCCGCTACAACAGGGCGGACCTGGCCCGTCCTCACCCATGCTCAGCCTGAGCGTTGCACAGGAGTATCAACAGCATCAGCAGCACCAGCAACATCAACAGCACCAGCAACATCAACAGCACCAGCAACATCAACAGCAACAGCAGCACCAACACCAACAGCAGCAGCAGCACCAACAACACCAACAGCACCAACACCAGCAGCAGCAACAGGTTGTGCCCGTTTCTCAACAGCAGATGGTGCCCGTAAGTGTGGCCGCCGCGCTACATGTGGTAGCCGGTAATGTGGTTAACGGCGGTGGAGGCGGCGGTCTCTCTACGCTGGATCCAAACGCTAGTGTCTACACGCCCAAGACAGGCAACATGATGGTGGTGCCGCCCGTTGGCATGAATCCCAATGGTTCGGATGCCTGACGCCAGCAGCATCAACAGCAGTCATCTGCGTCATCCTCGCATCAGCTAATGAGACGACAAGTTTGAGATTATTATACTTTATATGAACAGCAACAGCAAACAGCAACCGATTGATTTAGACTACAGTAGTCGAACAGAAGGCGAATGGATCAGTTTGCATATGATATAATGAATGTCCGTACTAAGCATAAGCAGTTTCCTTTTACACCCCACAACTACAACAGTATCACACAGTACACCATTTTCAAGTTCCATAACCACCTTTAAATCTGTCGCAAAACACTTCAAATCACACAACCGATACCGAGATATCTATTATAACAGCAGTTAGTTGATTGTTTTCCAAATTCCTTAAGAATGCGCCTAAATTTTTTCTCCCGAATACGCAATCAATTGGAGTTTTGTTATTGACTCCAACCAAAATATGGCTTTAAACGTCATTCCACCTGCTGAAAACGTGATCAAACTTATTTGAAATCAATGGAAATCGTTTTCATCAAATCCCAACTAAGAATGACTGTTGGTATCCGGTTTGTCAACTTTTAATCCACCCAAGATCCGCTCATGGAATCACATAAACAATACACATTTAGCAGACTCGTTGCGCGAGTTTTTGATTGATTTGAAACATTTTAAAAATAATAAGATTGATAAAACGCAAAACCTTAAATGGGAATTTGTATTTTTAATTTGAAATGCAAAAGAAGCGAAATGAAGAGAAAGATAAAAAGATCTGTTTACTACTTATTTACAAAACGCTGTGAGAGTTGACCAACTTTAGTGATGGCCTTTGAATTTGGCGTAATTTTTGTTTTTGCCAAATTTTTCTGCCCCTTTCAATGGAATTTTTGAAGTCTGCGCCCTTGATTTATTATCTCATTAAATTATTTTTGTTATAAACTTTAATTGTACGCCTATTATGTAGACTTAACTATTTTGAAAAGCAAAACAAAAAACCAACAAGTTTCTTTTTAAGTTTTAATTTATTTGTTGCTCTTCCTATAAACAAAATAAGCAAGTTGAAAATGCTTGAATTTAATTGCGAAGAAAACGAAAAACGACGACTATTTTGTTTAATAAAAAACCATTTCACTGCGTGAAGCTAGTACTTATTTGTATTCTATGTTTTTTATGTTATTGAATGCAACCATTTATTTCTTTCAATCTGTTTGTAATTTATGCCGAATATCGAAAGCTAGGATCTGCATTTGCGCAGCTATTTATCAATACCAAGGGAATTTGGTAGACGAACAATGGAAATCCTTTGGAGTTTATTTTTAATGTATCAAATAGCTCCCAAATTAATTAGCGTTCAATTGGATACTGTTTAATAAGATGACTATGACTAGATGAGCTTATGGTATAACTGGTTTATGTTAGCAGGATTATATTTTTAAGGAATTTAATTTTCTTTATTCATAATCATTCCAAGTAGTTGATAGTTGCATGAAAACCAAATAGTTTCATTTGGACCACTATTTTCCAGCCAGGAGGATGCGATAACCGTGAAATACGTCCCCAGCTACAAACGGTAGCTACAGTAATAAGTGATCCCTAATCAGTCAGTCAGTCGGGACAGTTTCATATGCGAAATAACTTAGTAGCCCACACACTGTGTGTTGGATTCAAACGAATCCCATACCCAGTACCAGTCCAGTCGACAAAGGAATCCATATCCAATATTCACAATGATCTATTATTTGCTGCAGGCGATTTCGACTGCTATTTTTAGCACAGTGGCCACCATTTGGCTGATCGAAGGTAAGTCCGTGGCGGCATAGACACATTTCCAATTTGACGGTCCATCCCGCAGAGACTCTGATCAATCTGATGATGTCCAGCTTTCTGTTTGTGCTGCGCATTGCCTGCCATCCGCTGATGCTAATACCAATGGTGGTGTGCAGCTATTACGTGGTTCGCAAAGTGTGGCTACGACGTCGACAAACAATCGATGGTGATTCTGTTCCTGGGCTGCGCAGTCTGAGCCGTACTCCGCGCATCGGCTCATATCGTAGCATGGGCAGCCTTTCGGCACGCAGCAATGATAGTTGCGATTACGACGACGAGGAGGTTCGCAGGTTGCAGTGCTCTTAACTTTTTAATCGATTAATGTTTTGTTTTAAATTAATGAAGTATTTATGTAACTTGGTTTGATTCGCAGGATTTACTACTCTCTCAAATGCAGACACAAACTATACGAACATTTATGTATACGATTGTACTTAAACTAAAACAGAGACATTTCTGTTCCCCTCCCTTAGACGATGTTTTTTTCTTCGAGTTTATGGTTTTTGCAAGGATGCGGTGTCCATTTTGGATAGGAGATCTCCCACTTTCAGCAGCATGGCATTGTTTTGTTGCTCGCCGGCGGGCGAGCTGCTGCTGATCATGCCAGCCAAGTGATGTATGTACTTGTCCACATTGTCCACGCTGAGTCCGCCGGGGTGCACTGGTGGCAGCGTGATGCCACCCAAAGTGGCCACAATCTTTTGTCGTAGATTCTTAATATATGCCGCTAAGCGAGCGTTCTCTTCCTTCAGCTCGGACACCTCCCCCATGACTTTGGCGTGTCCGGCTTTGGTGTTGTCCACATGCTGTTCCAGCACTGCATTTTGCTGCTCCAGATCCGTTTTGGTCTTGCGCAACAGACGCAGTTCATTCTCGGTGCTCCGATTGTGCTCAATGAACTCGTTTGTATAAATGGGTATCTCACCTGCCGCACATGGCCGCGGCGGACCGCAGGAGCTAAATGCCGATGGTGGTGGGGGTGGTGGTGTTGGTGTACGTTTCACTTGGGCCAGGGGTATATCGTCCGGATCTGGTGGTGTTGGTGTGCTTTGCTGTTTGTTCACTGTGTTCTTCACAATCGATTTCTTTGGAGCGGCTGCATCCATGCTGCTGCTGCTGCTGTGGTTAGTTGCCTTCTCCTTTGATGCGCTGGCATTTTTGCTGTCAAATACCTTCTTCGCCTTGGCCAATTCGGTAGCCACAATTTCGGGGTGCTCCTTCAGGAACTTGTGCATTTGTTCCTGGTATCTGTAAATTTTGACAAAACAATGTATGAGTGTTGGATATTTGGTTTGGCCAGGAATGAGAATATCAAAACACAGTTGCCAGCTTCACCTACAGTGCCTTGTCCTTGGCTGCCGCTTCCATGTACGGCGCCTTGCGATCTTCGGTCAGCTGGTGCCACTCCTCGCCAATCATTTTGGTGTGCTCCAGTGCGGTGCGGTTCGGGTGCTCGCGTCGCAGCTGCTCCCTGCGGTCGTTCATAAACCTCACATATGAATTCAGTGGCATTTTCGGCGCTCCAGCCACATTGATTCTGCGCTGCGTTAACTTCTTCAGCTCTGTATCCAGATCAGTGCCGGCAACTGGACTCCGTCCTTTTGGTTTATTCTTTTTTTTAGTCACTTTGCCGCCGGTTGGCGGACTCACATCATTTTCCTCGTCTGCGTTTACGGACTTGGCTGCATCCGGCACCTCAACCGTGGCGTCCGCGCTTCCATTTGCTGTTGCCTCATGACTTACAACGCCTTTGTTTTCCTGTTTGTTATCCATATTTGTGCCACAATTTTATAAAATTCAGTTTTTAGGGGTTTCTGGACACCGCTTCTTTCAAGTTGCTGCGCGTTCAATTTGCATTTGATTTCATTTAATTTGTTTATGTTTTATCGATTATCTTTAATTTGCAACTTTGATTAAATCCGTTGGCTTATACATTTTTGAAATAATTTGTCTGATTATTACAGTTACAGGAAATTGTTATAAAAAGCTTGCCCTCTTTTTTTGGGGGGTTTTAAAGAGTTTTATTATGTGCAATAAACCAAAAACATTAATCTGCCTCCCTTTTCCATCCAACAGATGTTTTATGCTTTTGTTATTTTATACAAAAAATCTGTTATACAACAGCTGATAACAACAGGGCTGCACAACGACTATTTAATTTTAGAAAATATTGCTTGCTTCTAGATGCTACGCTGTCATTGCGTAAGGGTGAGTGACGTATAGAGTGACGTCACTAAAAAGTGGCGCGATTCAGATTATCGACCAACTGTATGATTTCATAACTGCGCACTTTAAAACATAAGGCCTGAGTCAAATAATCGCACATGGAGCATTATTAAGGTCACAATAATAAGAAAGAGGAAATGTACATAATATTTGTGTTTGGCCTAACCCAAAAATCTTTTAATATACATATGTAATTTTATCACATTTAAAATCAAGACTTCAAGCCAAAATTTCCACATGATCCAATCTTTATTTTTTTTCAGTAAATGATATGCGAATTTCATTATTACTGACTGTCCCCTTTGCCAGAGATATTTCAAACAATATACATATGCATTTAAAGGGTTTTAGGTGTTGTAATATGAAAAATTTTTTTAACATAATTATTATTTATTTTATTTAAAATCTGCCCCCTTTTTGGGCAATAATTAAATGTTTTCTTTGACCTATGGCAGTTATGTATTGCGTGTATCTATGTGATGATGACAAAATGTGCAGATCTCAGCATTTAGGAGGCACAATACCTTAATCCTGGACGTTAGGCCTTTATAATAATAGGGCTTGAATGAAATAAAAGTGCATGTTTTTTCCGTTGTGGTCTTTATATATTTTGAATATTCACATATATATGTACGTGGTCTGCATGTTTTTGGATAATTCTTTGAGCACATTGAAATATTACAATTACAAAAATATTAGCCTATGTGAATGACAGGTGTTAAATATAAATAGAAACTTACAAATTAGCTTAGCGACTACTTTTTAGTTCAATATCATATAAAGCCTTCGATGACAAATTCTGTACAGAGATGAGAAAACTTTGGTTTTCCCATTTTCAACAACTACGACTGCGTATATTACGAGCTAAAACACTTAAAATGAAAGCGGCCGGCCAGATTTTAAACATAAACTAACATGTTAAGAGAGAGAGAATTGGATGATCCAACAGGTTTTTCAATTTGAAAAATTAACATTTACGAAGCCTCTCTGAAGTTCATGTGAACTCATATTAAACTGGGGAACAGCTCATCGAAATTGCTCTCCCAGGGGAAATCGTCATCTTCAGTGGGCAGAGCAATATCGTTGTCCAAATGGGACAGAGTCGTGGATGCTGGTGAGCCTATAACTGACTCATAGCCATGATCCGAAGTGACCGAATGCATGGAGCGGGCGGGCGATTTGCCCAGCGGTGAGATGGCCTTAATGCGCGGACTAAGGAATTTCTCAATGGGCTCGAAATTTAGATGGCTGGTCGCTTCATCATCCGAGTCGTCGGTGGCGTTTATCACGTTGAGGTAAACCTGCGAGGGTGACGTTGCTGGCGGCGGGCACTTCATGATAACATCTGTAGAGTCCTCGCCAGCAGTGACGCCCTCGCCGTAGATTTCCTCGACTGCCTCGTTGACAGGCACTGCATCGCCATCCATGACAATTGTGATGGAGTTGGTTTTGGCATCGTAGGTGCCATACACCGTGTCGGGTGTGGCGCTTTGCAGGAACGCAGCTGCTGAAATTGTCGTTGTTGTTGGTATCGTTGTGGCTGTAGCTTTCTTTTGTGGGTTTCCATTTATTTGTGACACCTGCATACACGGGCTGTTCTTGATGTCAGTGCTGTTCTTAGTAGGTGTTGGTGTGCATATTATAAAGGGATGCGTTTTGGTGTCATTGCTTAAGCCATCAGCTCTATGCCTGTCGGATTCCAGGCACTCTGCTGTGGTCCCCACCATTGGTCCAGGCAATCGCTCTGGCTTGCCTGCATCTTTGGGAGCAGCTTCGTCGCATGTGCCACTGCCTGTTTCCAGGTCTGCTGCGATATCTGCGAGGAGACTTTCGGCCAGCTCTTCGAGGCGTCGCGCATCGAACTCCTCATCGTCGACGAGCAGCATGTCTTGTATAGAAGGCAGAGCGCCACAATTCTCCAAAGTGAGGCCGTTGTGTTGCTCTGTTTCAGCTGCTGTTGCAACTTCTTCGAGGTCAAGGCATGCGCTGACGACTGTGTGTCCACTTGTGTACCCTGCTGCAGAGGGTCAGCATTGGATGCTGCAGATCCAGTGAGTGTGGACACACAGCCCTCAGCGTTTGCATTGACGCTAGCGCTGTTGCTGTGGTTTTTGGCAAGCTGTTTCATTTCGGCAAGTTCCTGTCGCAATACTTCCATTTCCGAGTCGAGCTTCTGATTCTTGGCCAGCAGAGATTCGTTGATGCTCTGTAAGCTCTCGCATTTGTTTTGCAGTATTTCCGTTTTTTCAGTTAGTTCCTTGATTTCATATTCCATCTCCTCCATACGCGCCTTCTTGCGGTCCCGGCTGGTTTGTGCGGCCACACGGTTCTTTAGTTTCCTAAGGAACAAACACAAATACGCAATAAGCAAACGGCTAGTCAGTCTTCTTGCCGCCACAACTTACTTTCTCTGGACTTTCTCCTCCCAGGACAGGTGATCCAGGCGCCGCTTTTTGGCCTTCGTGGGCGCAGCAGCGTTCGAAGCCATTGACATTGACTCCTCATCTGCCACACTGTTGGATGAGGATGCGTAGCCCGAGCTGGACGGCGAAGAGCCACCCTTGAGCAGCACCGCGGTTGCTGACAGGGGCGCAGGTCGCAGCTTGGGCAACGCACTCAGATTCAAGTTGGTGCCAAGAGGCACACACTTGGATAAAAGCACTCCGTTTACTGGTGCCATTTGGTTTATGTATGTGTGTGTGTGTGTGTTGTTATTGTTGCAATTAATTATCGACCAAGCGTGCAAAACTTTTGCAAAAATTAAAATTTCATTTTTGTGGAGCTCTTAACTTCCGTGATATATGCACGAGCACTGAATTTTATCTGATTTTCTTTTACTTAAACCATTGGAAGCGCTGCTTCCACTTTTGCTGCTTCTGCTGCGTTTTTCACGTACTTTGTGACTTTAGATTTCTTCATTGCCTCTGTGATGTTTACCCAGGTCTAGTCAACCTAATCTCACGCAATTTCCTCAATCACCTTGTAATTCTGCGCAGCAAAGTCTGAATTAAGATGTCGTGGACTTTACTGAATGGGTGTGCACGAAAAGCTGACGTGGCTTTTTCTGACTGGTTGGGTTCATGAAAAATATGCAAGAAGAAGAGAATGACAAACAAAATGTTATTTAACATAACAGCGTACGTAACATTAACATTTACTGAGCTGTTGTTAACAGCCATCGGTAAGTAGCTCCAATGTTGGCTTACTGCATTACTGTGGCACTTTGCTAACGGAAGAGTAGGTTTGCGTGGATAAAGTTTTTTTGAATTTTTGAAAGTTAAAATTTGAAGATATGAGAATCCAAATAACGAAATTAGATTACATAAATTAATAAGTAATTAAGTGCAACAAATATAATATTTTTTTATACAAATATATACTTTAATATAATTTCACAAACATACAATTTTTATATATTTTACATTATACCTTCATATATTAGACACACGATTTTGCATCGGGTTGCGTTCTTTTTTCTTATCCTTTTCGTTAACAGCGAGCTCCTCCTTGAGTACTTCAGCGACATCATAAATAGTGGTTTTGTGCTGTTTAAAATATATTTTTTTAAATGTTTTATTATAAATCGGAACAAGCAAGCACTTCATACCCTTAGTTGATTTATGTAGAACACATAGGGTACATTCCCCGTAATCGGGTCTATTGCCACTGGCCACATAGCCTTTAATTCATCATCGTTAAATTGTTCTCCTTCCTCCTTCATTAACTTTCCAAAGTACTCTTTTGTAAGAAAGAGTTTGTTTTCTGGATCCAAAACCTGGAAGGCAGCCAAAAGTTTTTCCGGACTTGCAGGTTCCATTCTGTGTGTTTCAAATGTGTACCATAAAAATAATATACGTATTAAAATCGATAATAAATTCGTTTACTTTCGATTCATAAGCAACTGAGAAACGTGTGCCATAAACTTTACTAAATGCGTTTCTCCAGGGTTATCTACAGACTCAGTGGCTGCAATAACTCCATTGACTTCCTTTTCTGTTGGTACACAGCCTAAAAACCTTAGCACATTTCCCACATTTCGAGTGTCAATGTACTTATCGCCGTGAAGGTCGAAAACGCAGAATGCCTCGGAGATTCGAACCTCAAGCTCATTAGCAAGTGGAACTGTCAACAACCGTTGATTACTCGGCAAGGCATAACAAACTGAAACTGCAACTTACTTCCGATTTCCATATTTACGGTAAATTTTAGTTTAATTTAATTTTTTTTTTGTTTTTATATATTATAATTGGTAACAGATAATTTTGGAAATAAAAATAAGTGTTTTTTTAGAAATATTTTAAAGAAGTTTTTTTGCACTTATACATTTTGTTGTAATAAAATTGAAAAAGAAAATTTAAATCATACATGCTTGCTGTGTTTTTCGTAATTTATTTTAACAGACAGTACATTTAAAAACAAAAACATTTATATCGCTGTGAATTGCCAACTCGTTGTGAATAGACATCGATAAATGCGCTCACTGCCACTATACCGATATGTTAAAAATATCAAATGCTTATGTGCGTCAAATTTGCGGCGGTGACTTATGCACGAAACCAAATAAATTTAAATGCAGAATTGCAAAAAATTAAACTATTTATTGTCCACATTCATTTGATTTTGAATTATATATATATATGAATTATATTACATGTATATACACGATTAAAGCATATAACTTCACCTAGCCAACTGTGGAAATTTTATGAAAATCGTCGTTACTGTTTTTTAAATATTTTGTAAGGAGTGCAGCAACCCCCTTGTCGGCCCCATACAAAATGACCTCAAAAAATCAACTTTGTTCTTGAGCCCTAATTTCTTAACTCATGGTCAATGGCCCTCAATGCACGCTATAGCCTTTTGTAGTTACATATTTAAAGAAGCTTTTGGCACTAATTTTAAGCAAATGAACGGTACAGATTTTGAGAAAATAATTTAATTGTAAACCAACCTCATATAGTTCATTCATTAAGCATATCGAACTGCTAATTCCAACGGGAACTGAACCACTGCTTGGATACAGAGTTGAACAATTCTATAAAGAATTGGGCGGGAACAAATCAATATTTATCAATTTCTCCGATAATGGCCTCAATTATGATTAATCAATCATTTTGGCTTTTATTTCATTAAAATCAGCTTTTCTTTTGCATTACCATAGGATGTTATGAGAGAAATAAAAAAATGAGAATTTCTTAAAATCTGTTCCGATGATTTTAATGAAATAAAAGGCAAAATGATTGATAAATCGTGCTCTATTTTTGCATTAATATAGGATGATATGATAGAAATAGAAAAATGAGAACTTCTTAAAATCTGTTCCGATGATTTTAATGGTTATGGGCAAAAACACTATACGAATTTGTTAATTTCATTGCTGCATAAAAATATTCAGTCATTCATACCTAGTTTTAAAAAAACAGTTTTTTGAATAAAGTCCACGATTTCGTAATTATGCTATTGGATTGCTTTAACGGCATATTTGTTTTCGATAAGTGCTTTCCGATAAGTTTTTGCCGCCGATTACTTTAATGTAAACAAAAAGACAGTGTTACCGCATTGGAGAAAGCAAAAATACCAGCGAAATTTGCGTGCATTGACAACCCTTTTTCCGATTACCTCACTCGCTCTATTGAGCGAGACAACAAGCGAACCATTAATAAGCAGGCACAATCACGGCATAACAATAAATGCTTTGTTTTTCCAAGCCCTGCTACAGTTGTAGTAAAGTTTGGATTGAACGAGCGAGTAGGAGGACTGTTGCGTCACCAGGCACAAACACCAGCGAACATCTCACTCACACACCGCTCAAACGGTAGCCCAGGAGATCAGCTGACAACGGCGGCAGTGGCATCACCATCGGCGCCCAGTAGCTGTAGCATCCGCAGCCCTAGCAGCAGTTGAAACATGGCATCCACCTCGGCCGGCACATTGGAGGGCACACTGAGCAAATGGACAAACGTGATGAAGGGCTGGCAGTATCGCTTCTTCGTTCTGGACGAGAACGCGGGCCTGCTGTCCTACTATACGGTGAGTGATCCTCACTTCTGTGTGTCATTTGACAAGTGATGGAAACTTTTTGCTTTTATCTACTTAAATTGGAGCTGCGTTAATTGTTATCTTATCTGCCCAGTCAACGACAATTAAACAGAGTCGCTTCCCGCAATCAACGTCGCCAATTAATCAAAAAATGCGTGTGCATATGAGTTTGTTTGTGTGTACATACATACATACAAACATACATATGGATATTTATTTATTTAACGTAATTTTGCCTGAGCTGCGGCTGCTGCTGCTGCTTCGCTTTTCCTGCGCTTCGAGCTCTGGTAGGAGCTTCGATAGAAGTCGTAGAACCCATAGAGCATGAGCGTAATCACAAATATGAAATATATAAAGACTTTCTGATCCACACCGCAATTCATCGATACAAATGTTGCATGGACCATAATTAGTATAAATTGCGACATTTGCATAACGGTAATTGACTTCTTAACGGGCATTAAAGCACGCAACGTCGCCTTATCCGCCACGGCGGCAATCAGATAATACGTGTACATAACAATATGCACATTGGAGTTGAGCAGTATGGGAAACAGCGCATCACAGCCTGCAAAATGAAGAATCACATATATGAATAGTCCTTCAGGGACAACACTTAGACAAAATAAGGAACAGTTCACCCACCATTTTTGCGATTATGATTGATCAGCATATAGATGAGAGTTACTGTGGTTATATGATGGAATACATGCAGCTTGGTCACTTGATTTTGTTTCTTGCGCAGCACAAATATCATTGTCTCCATGAGCTCGGACAGCTTCAGCCAAAATAGGAAATATGCCAAGCGATAATGTCGCTTCATACGCTCGGGCGTCTCCTCCAAGACGCTGCATTTCCAAAAGTATATGATTGTGTATTCAGTTATGTGCAATATCTGCAATGAAATCAAGTTCTCTAAACTCAAAAATACCAATTTAAAGATCTTTTGGGCACCCACCTCATAGACAACGAATATGCACGAAATGACCTGCACAATATTATGCACTATGATCAGTTTTTTCAGTTCGTAGGGCGCTCGAGAGTGCATATAGCTTAAAATATATAAAATGCCCAATTTGATTAAACTTGTAATTTCAGTTAGGCGAATAGAGTACAGCTCAATTGAATTGGTAATTATCTTCTTTCTGTTCTTTTTATTTCAATGTACAAAGTGTAGAGTGCGCGCCTAAATTATTCTCACAATATCATTAAAATTCAATTTGTTTATAGCTGAGTGCTGACTGGAATCAATACTCACCTTGGTCCCAGTTTCGTAACTAATAGCAAATATATACCCAAGGCGCCAAGCATAAACCAAGGCGTAGACATTATCGCAGGATGATCAAACTCAAGTGCTTAAAACACAAATTAATTATGTATATTATAGAGTGTAATTAAGAACACGAAGAAAAAACAAGTATGCCACAGATTCTCACTTGTTGGCGCGTCCATTTTTTTTTTTTGGAAATTTTACTCTGAGTCCTGCGTTCTAATTAGATTGATCCGTGCCGATTAGCCCCGAGACTGTTCACGTTCCAATGCGAGCGACTTATCGCTGATATCTGGGCAATTGTCAAATGCTCACGTTGATTTTTAATCGCCTAGCTTCGCAGCAAACACCATTAATTTATTCCAAAAAAAAACAACCAATTTTAAACTGTGTCGTTGACCATTTTGGCTTTTTTTTTTTTGCCTGACGTTGGCCTATGGGCACACGTCACAAGACCGACGCGTGCTCAAAGTTTTTCTGCTCCAAATTGCGTAGTTTTTACAATTTTTTCTATAGCTAAGTGTATCTATGTTTTCCATTTACAGTCAAAGGAGAAAATGATGAAAGGCGTGCGACGCGGCTGCGTTCGTTTAAAGGATGCGCTCATTGGCATTGACGATCAAGAGGATAATACATTCACCATAACTGTCGATCACAAGACCTTTCATTTTCAGGTAATTGTGTTCTTAGAAGTCGCATTTTTGTATAAAAATAATGTTCTATATAAAACTAGCGGATATTTTTCGACCTTCTTCGGATCAAGATATTTGCTTTAAATTAAGTTTGAAAACGAAAATTGGCCATAATCTTTGAGCTCTATTTTTATCCAAACAGATGTGTTTCCTTAAAGCCGAATATTTCAATACCCTTGTAGACATTTGCCTTATGGGTTTGCAGATATGCGAGAATAGTGAAGCCCTTAAATGCTGACTTTGATGAAAATATCTTGAAAAATTGAATATTTTGCAATATTTCAAGACTAGCTTTAAGACTGAGAGTTAATAGTTCACATAAAAACAGATAGAGGAACATACAGACATGACTATATCAACTCGGCTGTTGATTCTGATTTATAATATATATACTTTATGGGGTCGAAGATGTCTCCTTCTATGCGATACGCATCTCATGAATAATTTTTAATGGTCAAATTTGGTTGCTAGATATAAAGCTTAATATACCAGTTGCAACCGCTTTACAGGGTATTGAAATAAATGTTGATATGATTTTTATGTCGTGTGGGCAGCAAACTTTTGAACTCTGAAGACCCACTCATTGACACACACCCAAACTCTGGGTCAAGTTCATTTATTTATTTTCACTGATTTTGTTTTTGGCTCTGCATTTTTACCCCCCTTTTGCGGCGCTGCTCAACCTTATTGTAACGATAAAACTTATTGGCAAACGAAACGAACGACTGCCCAACCACCGAACCTTTCAACTGAACGGCCAACGACAGGCTCGGCACAGCGATGAGCGTGAGCAGTGGGTGCGACGTCTGGAGGACACAATAAGACGGCACGCGAATCGTTCGCGTCTGTGGGACAGTCAGAGCGCCTTCTACCTTGCCGGCGGCTACACGAAGGAGTCGAGCAGCAAACGGGCGAATCACTTGGAGCTGGTGGGGCGACGTGTTTCCGAAGCGGATGCCTATTTACAGCTGATGATAGACCAAACCAATGTGAGTGTGCGATTCCTTTATGTATGCAGCCAAACTCTTGTGTAATCAAATCCTACTCCCAAAACAGGCGCTGGACAAACGCATCGCTGAGCTAAGCGACGTCACGGAGCAGGCCAAGTGCAAGGCGCTGCAGGACAATGCAAGTGTGAGTTAGACGCAACTTTATTAAGCAACCAACGGCAGAGCTAAACAAACAACCTGCCACTCAGCTCAGTTAGGGCAATCTCCAGATGCAGCTCATCACGGAAATTATTCGAAATCTTTTCCATCTCGCTAAAGGATAGACGCCAGTGGCTGGCATCCACTGGCATAAAGTGGCACGTGTCCTGGCTGTGACGCACCTGATGTATGGCTATAATCGTGCTGGCCTGAAGGGCCGCATCGCGTCCGCACAGTCTCAGTGTAGCATTCAGCTGCAGCTGATCGTGTGGCGTTGCCAGCCAAATGACAAACACCTGATCCTTGAGATTGGCATGTGTGAGGACGCGGTGTCCTAGCTGCTTATCCTGCAGTGCAGAATTAGCAGCCGTCTTGCAAATGAGCACCACAACGGGCACATCGCTGGCCAGGTGCGCATGCTCCTGCGGCAGAAAACTGTTGTAGATCTCACGGCGCGGCGATGTCAGCAATTGCTCTTGCTGCAGCAGAGAGCCGCTATAGGCGAGCAGTCCAATCACATGGTTCTGCTTAAAGTGACAGCTGCGGGTATCAAAGGACAGCACGACACGCTGGCCCTCGCCCAGCTTGTGGCAGCGCTGGGAGGCGACGGTCTCATTGTGATCGCAGAGGTAGTGCAGCAATAGCAGCTGGCTATCCACGCGCCGGCGGCAATGCTCAAACACACACGGGCTAGAGCCGCAGCTGATAACCAGCTTGCCGTCCGACTCTTCTTCCAACTCTGTTAGCTCTAGCTTGGCAGCTTTAGCATCGGCCTCGGACTGCTCGCCAACGACTAGGCTGAAATCATTTTGGTTGGCGGGCAACTCCTCGATGGCATCGACATCGTGCCAACCAATTAGATCCGACTGTCGTATCTGCAGAACTGCCATTTCTGTGCGCAGCTCATCAATATCCGCGCGTAGATCCTGCAGCTGCTTTTCCAAGCGTAACTTGTCTTCCTGGGCATCTTTCGCATTAAACAATTGTGCACAACGGATCTTGTATCGCTCAAACTGGTCGCGTAGCTCATCTATGCTATGCTCCATGGGATCAAGCAGCTCGTCATCCATAATTAGCCAATTAGATAAAATATGACTTATCGTTTTGTGGTGTGTGTGTGTGTGAACAATGTGAAATGCTTTACAATTTGTTTATAACATTTTTTTTTTTTTTTTTGGAATTTTTAGTCACAGTTCTGGCAGGCGAGCAGATGAAATATTGATTGGCAATGCAAGTTCAGGGTTAGAGCCTTAGCTGGGCCCAGCCGGGTGTATTATTAGATATGCATGAGGTGGTTGTATGAGAAAATTTGCGAGCTCGCGCCAGCTGCAGTCACAACCCAGCTGTTCATTTCTTTGGCAAACTTCGAGGCAAACTGTTTTTGCGGAACAAAAATAATAAACAGGCAGGAAGGCAGGCGGGCAGGCGGCACAGTCCATCCGACATGGTTATTTAATCGAGGTCTTGACACCTTTTTGCGCTGGCTTTTTATTTTGTTCTTATTTGATTTGTTTTGACGTTTTGCATTCGCAGGCTATGTTGGATCATATCAAACACTCGATTGTTAGTCTACAAATTGCCAAAAATATGGCGCACCCCATCAATGGCATTTACAATGGCCCCACCACTACGCTAACAACAACAACGACAGGCATGCTGATGGCAGCGGCGACGGGCCCGTCAGTCATGGGCCACAGTGGCGGCAGCAGCAGCAGCAGCGGCGGCAGCGGTAAGGCGAACGACGCTCTCAAGAGCGAACTGGCGGGCGACGATGAGGATGATTCAGCAACGGAAAATGGTAAATGTCATCCATGTGTAAAATACATTCTGACGGTCACATTTTCGCTGCATGTTTCTTTAGATTTGACTGTTTGATTTACATTTCGCGAGGGTATCTCGAATTAGTTAAGAGATTTGCAATCGCATAATCTGCATGTATTTTTATCATTATATGAAGAGACTATCTTATCTCGTTGTCCTGCATGGATAACTATTTGAGAAGCAGTTTTTCTGTTTTTAATCTCTTCATCGAAGATGCAAAGATTTTTAAAAAATATTTTGGACAGTATAGAAAGCGTTACAAGGGAATCGTCTTTGTCCTATTTTCTATCATTTTTATTTCCAATGTATAAAATTCAATTTTACAATTTTTAAATCTATTTTTATCGAACATGATAGATTTGCATTCCTTTTATAAATATTATAACAGCTTCAAGCTTTATCCGCTGTTCATTGAATCTATTTTCTAAAACAGTTTTCATTTAGCATGTAAATTACTGTGCAATATTCTTGTTAGGGTATTTAAACTTCTGTACGCCACTGCAAGCTTTACATACCCATTATGCATGTAGTGTTTGTGAACAAAATATGGCATTACATGCATTCAGGGTCGCACACATACGTATGCGTGTATGCATGTCTGAGTGCATATGTATGGCCCAAGTGGCTCGTTAATGAGTTGCTAATCGATGAATTGGCTATTGAAACTTGCGTAAAATGCAATTGCTTTATATGTCTATATGTGTTTGTTTCATTACAGCCATCACTGCGCCATTGGGTCTGGTCGTGCCAGAAACCTCTTATTCGAGCAGCGAAGGTGAAGAAGACTTTTATGATGCCTACGATGATCCCTTCACCAGTGTGGGTAGCTCACCGATTGGATGGTAAGTGTGCAGAGATAAACAACAGTTATCTGCCAGCGTTGCCATGTTAACGGATGCCGGCTCTAAAAATGCGTACAACTGCAAAGTATGTACATATATACATGTTCGCTTGTATATATATATAGCTGCCTCTCGTAACATTTTATTTGGCGGGCGCATGCCCAATGCAATTGCAGCCCAGGTATCCGAAACACACACATTTGCGTGCATAGTGTTTAAGTTGGTCAGTCGCCTGTAAATAATTTATGCAATTTTGCAAGCTGCACCGTCAGCCGATTTGGCAACGCCAACACGTCACAGCTGACAAGCAGTTGTTGTCGTCCTTTGCCCAGGCCTCCGGGGTACGTCGTGCAATTTACGATTTCGTCCTGTCAGTTTCTAGTTGCGTTCGTCGCTGACTGTTGACTGTCGACTGTGCGCCATTCTTCATATTATTTCCTTCTTTCAAATGACGATTTGCTCATAGTTTCCACTTTGATTTATGCTTCTGTGTGTGTATGTGATTGTGATTCCTTGGTTTTTGTGTGTGTATGTGGTGTGTATGTATAAGCTGTTTGCTTTGTTGCGCACAGCTGGCGCCGCAAAGTATGCAAAACAAAAGTTTGCAATCGCCATTTTAAAGACTCGTATGCAGCTTAAACTGCATTCGCATCCACATCTGACAGCATCGCCAGTGTTGCCATGTTTAAGAAGTGGGTACGTCGCGTTAGCCTAAGGTAAGCACTTCTTGCAATTGTGTTCGTGTGTAATTGTGTGCGTTTGTGTCTGTTTTATAAACTGTAAATGAGCCAAGGCACGTAGAGAGCCGTTGAAAGGGTGAGTGAAAGGGAGGCAGGACCGCTTGCGTGTGCCAAGGCTGACATCATTTAAAGATTAAAATTTTGACAATTCATAAATTATGTACACACATCCAGATCCAGGTCCTTTTGGCATACAGGATTTTAATCAACAAGTTTGGAATTTATTTGCAGCGCCACGCGTGGCTTTGCAGAGACATCGCCCACGCACGAAAAGCCGCAGGACAGTTATGTTGGCGGCGGTGATTTGGCCGGAGCCACAGCAGCAAAAGCAGCTACCACAACTATAACAACAACAACGACAGTTGGGCGTGCGACACTGCCGGAAATCGATGAGACAGGGTCGAGCAAGGTGCCAAGCTCTCGCTCGTCTAGCTATGACAATGGCATCGATTATGATGCACTCTACGAAGAGGAGGAGGAGATGGACCTCAGCATGGAGGCGCACGGATCAATGATAACGCATCTATTGTCGCAGGTGAAGATCGGTATGGATCTCACCAAGGTGGTGCTGCCCACGTTCATCTTGGAGCGTCGCTCTTTGCTCGAAATGTATGCCGATTACTTTGCCCATCCCGATTTGTTTCTCAAGTAAGTTTATTTTATTTTAAAACAGTAAAAAATAATCGTAAAAAAATTATATCGCTTCTAGAATCTCGGAGCTGGATGACCCACGCGATCGCATTGTGCAGGTTTGCCGTTGGTATATGAGCGCCTATCATGCGGGTCGTAAGAGCGCGGTGGCCAAAAAGCCCTACAATCCCATACTGGGCGAAGTATTTCAGTGCCATTGGGATATTCCAGGTAGCCCAATAGCAATAAGTTTTACTAATTCGTTGTTTCTAATTCGTTTTCTATGCTTTAGGTGAAACCCAAGATGGAAATGAGGTGCGTGACGGTCCTGTACCCTGGTGCCGGCGGGATCAGCTAACATTTTTAGCGGAGCAAGTGTCGCATCATCCGCCAAGTGGGTTAACTCTCGTTGCTAAGCAGTAAGCATCAATTGATCTCCATTTTTGTTTTACAGTTTCAGCCTTTTATGCAGAGCATTACAATAAGAAAATAACATTTACTGCTCATGTCTGGACGAAATCGAAATTCCTGGGCTTATCCATTGGCGTGCACAACATAGGCGAGGGTGTCGTTACCCTGGTGGATCGCAGCGAGGAGTACATTGTTACGTTTCCAAACGGTTATGGCAGGTATGTAATAATTAAATAAATAAGCTGGTCAAAATTAATCAAATGCTTGCGCTTTCAAGGTCTATTTTAACGGTGCCTTGGATTGAGCTGGGCGGCTCAGTCGAAATCAAATGCCCACAGACCGGCTACTATGCCAACGTGGAGTTTCTCACAAAGCCCTTCTATGGTGGCAAGCGAAACAAAGTCAGCGCCGAGGTGCAGTATAAAAAATATATATAATTTTCCAAATATATTATGAGTTATATTTTACTTAGATCTATTCGCCCAATGATAAGAAGCCATTTGTATCGATTGCCGGCGAGTGGAGCGGACTAATGGAGGCCAAGTGGCATGATAAGAACGTAAGTTGCATGCTGGCATGCTGGATTCAACCTAAGTTATAATTCCTGTATGTAGAGTTGTATATTGAACAATTTTTGCTAATGTACTTGTTAAAGTTGAAACCCTTTTTTTGCTATCCTTTTCTGTAAACGCCTAATACGCTGCCTCGAACAACACTACGAGTTGGCAGCTACATCTAACTATCTATCCAACTTTCAACCTATCCACCTACATATATACCTGCCCGTCTTTAAACTGCTCCAATTTACTTTTAGCGATACTTGTACTTTTCTCTTAAATAATTTGGGAACACATTTCTCTGTGTGTGCTTACTTTGTTTATCTAGAAAATTAAACCTCAACCTAGACCAAACCAAAACCAATACTAAACTGCCTGCCCACGTTTTGAACTCCCACTACATCATATTGTTGTGTAGATGTTGTGTCTCTGTGTGTTTTTGTTTCTTCAAATGCTGACTACCACGTGAATCTCTAATTTTCTAGAAAACCGAAGTATTCGTCGACGTAAATCGCATACCCATATTTAAGAAACAAGTTCGACCAATCGTTGAGCAGGATGAATATGAATCGCGGCGTGTTTGGAAGGAAGTGACTGCGGGACTCAAGTAAAATTCTTATTTTGCATATAACTAACTAGCTGCATTTATTTTTTTTTTATAAATTAAACTTATATTTAATTAATATATTAAACTCCATCCCAAATAGATTTAATGACATTGAGCGCGCCACCAATGCCAAATTTGTTGTGGAGCAGCAGCAGCGTGATCAGGCCAAGGTTCGCAAGGAATATGACCTAGCTTGGGAGCATAAGGTATGCTAGATTTATGCTCTTTGGGGTAAAATATTATAAATTTTTTAACCTTAATTTACTCAAAGCACTTTAAACCCGTGGGCGATAATTGGATATATACAAAGCCGCTGAGTCAGCGCATGTATTTGCAGGAAAAGGAGGCCAAAAGATAATGCATGAATTGGGAGCCAGAAGAAACGCCAACACCAATGTTTTTCTTCATATATATCTATATTTCTATGTAAAGATATATGTGATTCATATCAAGAATGAGGAGCCTCAACTATTGTATAATATCCTGAAGTGCGCAAATCCCAGACACAAACACTAACGACGATACAACGTAACATATGCAGGAAACTTAATGTTTTACAGTATAATGAATTATGAGATATGAGATAAGCGATAAGGAAACATCTAGAATCCGTTTAATAATTGTAAATAGTTTATACACATAACACACAACAAACAGAAAAGGCAAACGCCAAGTTTAAGTAGACAGTTAAAAGCAGCAATAGTTGAACGACACAACGTAAGCACCTAAACAAATAATGGTTGAAATTTAATAAATCTAATATAAACTGCAATAAATAATAATATAGAGAGCAAACACTTTAATATAGTCTCTTCGCAACATACTCGTATAAAGCAACATATTATTAATTACATATGTACTAGCGTGTTTCAAAGGCAATCGCAGTAAACTGCAAAACAGAGAACACCTAAAAGAATACCTTTTACAATACGAAAACACATTATGCGATATGTAATACAAAAGTTGTAGATTACAGAAAAATGTTAGAGATTTAAGCATAGAAATTCTATTTTTTAAATAAAAGACTCTAATAGATGAAATACAATACAAATGATATCTAATAGATACAAATACTATTAATAATTAATTCCTGTTTTCAAAACTTTAGGCAACAGCACAATTGATTTTGTCAAATAAAACAAATAACAATAACTTTAGTATTATATATATTTTTCAATTCCATTGTCACAAAGATAAAGAAGAAAGCTTTACTTACAAACCCGCAGCCAAAACTCCAACGAAATGTCTGCAAAAAGCAAAATATCAATTTATAGTATTCAAATATAGTTAGCATATAATTTAATTGGCATTTGCCAACAGTTCAACTACCGCACGGCAAAGCTATATTTTTCTTTGTAAACTACCGAATACTCTCACGCAAAGTTAACGCAAAATGAAACGAATAAAGAATAATACGCTTTTAATATTGTTAAAAATAATCAAATATACACAAGTATACAGACAGCCACATATGAATAAAAAATATGAAAGCAATACTGAAATGCCTACAAACAAATATTTTAACGAATTTCTCCCTAGAAGTTATACAAAAATAAAACACACTACCCACATAGATTTAAAATCAGCCATTATACGATTATTACAAAATAAACATTGTTAGTGCAAATGAATATCATTCGTTCATGTTTTAAAATTTGTGAGTTACGCGCCAAAGAGTTTGTTCATTTGAACCTGATTTGTGAACGGTGGCAACGCTGCAGTTTGACATTTGGTAGTGGTGCCAGCTTATTTCACAAATTGACGTGGCTCTAAATTTTAGTGTTTAGGTGTATTTAGAGGCTGAAATTGCAATGCAAAAAGTTTTGCACGCAATTGGTCCATTAAATTAAACGGTGAATCGGTGCTGGAACTGTGTTTAAGCAAATTCAACAAGTACGCACCAAATACATTGGCGAAAACGTGAAAATCGTTCACTGACTAACAGAGAGCGAGAGTGATTGTGTGTGAGATAGAGGCCGAAGCCCGCAAGGCAGCGCCGTTGTTCATTGTCAGCTAAAAAAAGAGAAAAAAAAATAGAAATTTCGTTTGTTGCGTGCCAATTGCAAAGGAATTATTAATACAAAGCGCCCCATTGCAACTGCAACTGCAAACACAATAGAAGAAGAGTACACCACAGCATTGGGCGAGAACGCAGTGAAAAGTGTGTGAATGCTACAGAAGTCAATTAACGAGCGCAGGGGAAGAAGAAGAGCCAACTACAAAGTGCAAGTGCTGGTCAAGTACATACACACACAGGCACACACAAACACACGTTCCAACGCCCTTTTTCCAGCGATCCCATTAGTTTGGCAACATTCACGACAAGAAAGGTAAGCTTAAAAAAGGAAAATGCCCTTCCATTCCGCTCTCTGCCCGGCAACGACGACGTCATCAACGTTTGCTGATTAGAACATTTTGCTCTGTACTATGCCTGCACATAGTAGTTAGTCTTATCACATGGCCAATTACGGTTGATAAAACGCAACACATTTTCAACAGCTTTGTCAGAGCGCATAATTAGCAGCAGCAGCAGCAGCAGCAAATGATCAGTAGTAAAGGCATGACAAGCTTGAGCTCCCTTCCAATGTCGCATTCTCAGTTCAATAAACGCTTTATCAAGTCCACCGACTTTACAAAACCAAATCTGCGTCGCTTTTGTTCGCTTTCGCAGTGTGTAAATTAAATACCACGTAGCTTGACATATTCTTCCAATGATAAACGAAAAGTTATCTTTGGGTTGCTGCATATTAAATACCCTTACAGACTGTATATATTTCTATATACATATATCAGTAGCTAGGCTGTTTGCATACAATTTACTTAATTTTGGACAAAACGTTGGAAAACAGTGTTGCCAATTTTTGAGAAGTAAAAACTTTAATTTCTGAGTGTTGAGAAGTTACATTTTGATCGAACGAAATTACTGTTTTTAATATGTACATTAGTTATTAATAATACTAAAATTTATTCATTTAGCAATCGCTTCTGTGAGGTTAGTTAAACAAACAATTGCCGAAACACCCAAAACCCTACTAGGGTATTTGTAAGAGAAAACTCCATAAAAAAACTGGCAAGAAGTTCAAGAAAAATTCGTTACGCAAAGTGCAATGCAAATGGCAATTAGCCTGCATCAATGAGCCGTCACCTTTTGCTGTTAATTGGAAATTCAAGTTGCCCCGTTAGCTTGCTAACTTGGCTAATACCATTTTTTTTTTTGGGTTCTTCATTGGATTGTTGTTGTTATTGATTTAGGGTATATGTATTATTCAAATGAATTGTTCCGGAAAAACTGTGCCAAGCAAAGTGCCACCCAGCTAACTAAACAACGTTTCGTATCTATTATATTTAGCAAATATACTAAATATGTTATATGTAGTTCATATCTATCAGCCAAAGCGTCTGTTCTTGTTGTTGTTGTTGTTGTTATCTGAGCACGTTTGGCAGCGATTATGCAAAGAGCTGAGTCAACTAGTTCTGGTTTTATAAAGGTTCTGCCATTGAGACGATAAGATAAGGCACCAACAATAGTTACCCAGCTGCAGCCTTCACGTACAGACCTAACACGTCAAATTAGACGACTGCGTGCGGCAATCAATTTAAGATATTCGATACATTTATCAGACACTTGCCAGCGTTACCCGGCCCTGCTGGGCAAGGTATTCAAGGTTGAGATTAAAGAACTTGAACCAAAATCGAAGATTTGCTCAACCCACAGCTGACAAAACAGATGCTGTGTTCCTCTCATCTCCATACCCAAAAATCGTGTACAAATAAGAAATATCTTACCGGATCCCAAAGAGCAAAAACAAATGTTATATTCAACTATTTTGCAGTAACTTTTCACTCCTACAGGCTGCTTTTCCTAGAACCCCATCTTAATGCTCTTTAATTTATTTACTTACTCTTTACTAACGCATTCGCTTTCTACATTTTCAGCTGCATTCCATGAATTGAAGTGCCCAACGCAGAATGTCAGCATACAATACAAATTTTGTGCCACCCACGCCAAATGGCAGTTCTGGCGGCTTGGTTAATGGTCAGCCGCAGCAGCAGCAGCAACAAGAACAGCAGCAGCAGCAACTACAGCTGCAGCAGCAGCAGCAACTCCAGCTGCAGCAGCAGCAGCAGATTTACCTGCACCAGCAGCAACAGCAGCAAAAGCAGCAGCAAAAGCCCGTTGCACCGCAGAAACCAGCTCATCATTTCCCTCAACGGCCAACGCAGTATCCCATGAATGCCACGCCCACTGGCTCTGCACTGTTGCCGCCTCAATTTAATAACAATGCGATGAACAAATTTCTGCCGCCACCCATGAGCAATGGTCCAGCGCCGACGGCACCGCTCAGTAATCTGCCCGCGCATCTGCGACCGCCCACGCTGAACGGACCCACAACAGCCGCCGCACCAGTTGCTCCTATTACCAATGGCAGCAATGGCGCACTGAGCGCCAACTCGTCACGCACGGCATCGCCTGGTCTGATCAATAGCAATGCCACCTTGGTCTCGACAGAAGCGGCTGCACCACCAAAAGTAACGCCATCCAAGCAGCAGTTTGTGGCGGGTCCGTTGGGCAGCTCATTGCAGTCTCTGCAGCAGCAGCAGTCGAAGGGCGTGTCAAGCACTCCGATGCCGTCGGCTCAGCAGTCATTCACTGGTCAACTGGGACCCACGTTGGGCGCCTCAATGCCGCCATCTGCCGGTAACTTGGGCCCCACATTGCCGCCACAGCAACTAACGATCAGCCAGTCGGGTCCCACGTTGCCGCCACCGGCCAGTCAGTCGGGCAACGCTTTGAACGCCTCAATGCCGCCGTCCTCCGGCAACTTGGGTCCCACATTGGGCGCCTCAATGCCACCGTCTGCCGGCAACTTGGGCCCCACATTGGGCGCCTCAAGGCCGTCGCAACAACTAATGATGAGTCAGTCGGGTCCTACACAACAGCCACCGGCCAGTCAGTCGGGCGCCTCATTGCCATCCCAGCAGGCGCCACAACAGGCGCAACCACCCGTTAGCCAGGTTTCCAGTATGGCCAGCCAGCTGCAGAAAATGAATTTGAATCCCAGCAATGGACCCAGTCCGGCAGCATCTTTTGCGCGTAAGGATTACCGTGCCGTGGCAACGGGCCTGGCTGGACCCACAGAGAAATTGGACACCAGCGGCGCCAATACATTGCTGGCATCGAGTGGACTGGCGCCCAACCTGCCCAATCCCATGGCTGTGCCCTTTAGTGCCGCTGTGCCCCGCAATGCGAGTCCAGCGAACGTGTTTGGTGGCGTCACGGCAGTACCAAGGCCAATGCCGCCCACGGGACAGAAACTGGCATACGGCATACCAGCTCCGGCAACGGCAACGGCTCCGGCGCCGGGAGCTCCAGCGCCTGTGCACCCAGCACCAGCTGTCGCGGAACAGAACAACAATGCGCCAAGTGCAGCAGCACCGCCAACAGCGCAGCGGCCACCGATGTGGCAGCCGCTGGTTAGTGCTATGCCCGCCATGCCCACTGCACTGCAAAAGCCCCAGGCTTTTATGCCGCCGCCGCTGCCGTCAAGTCAGCGTATGCTATCACAAGTGCAGCTGCCGCCCTTTGGACCGCCATCAACCATGGAGCAGCATCTTAAACAGCAGCAGCAGCAGCAACAGCAGCAAAATCAACAGCTGCAGCATCTGCAACAGCAGCAACTGCAGCAGCAGCAACTGCAGCAGCATCCTCCACAACAGCAGCATCAGCCACAGCAGCATCTGCAACAGCTACAGAAGGCACAGCAGCATCCGCCACAGCAGCAGCATCTGCCACAGCTCCCCCAGCAACAGCTCCCCCAGCAGCAGCTCCCCCAGCAGCAACAGCCACAGCAGCAACTGCAACAGCAGCATCTGCAACAGCAGCAACAGCTCCCTCAGCAGCAGCAGCAATATCCGTATAAGCAAGCCTTTCCACAGGCGATGCCACCGCTGCCACAGCAGCAGCAGCAGTTAACTGCACCCGGAATGTTTGGAGTGCAGCCGGGCGGTGCGCCGTTGCAGTATCAGGCGCAGGGTGTGGCACAGCAGCCGCTGAGTGTGACGCAGCAGGGTTTCAGTCGACTGTGGGGCCAGGATACCGTTGATCTGATGCAGAACAGGCATATCCTGTCGCCGGCAACGATTGCGCCACCGAAGGTCGTGCTGCACAATCAATTTCACGAGTCCATCAACTGCAATCCGAGCATTATGCGCTGCACCCTGGCCAAAATCCCGGAGAGCAATTCGCTGCTGCAAAAGTCGCGTCTGCCGCTCGGCATAGTCATTCATCCGTTTCGCGATGTCAACGTAAGAGCCTGAATCTTAACAAATTTACAAATTGTTAACGCTTAGCTGTTTCCACAGAGCCTGCCCGTGATACAGTGCGTCAATATTGTGCGCTGCCGCCTGTGCCGCACCTATATTAATCCATTTGTCTACTTTGTGGACAGCAAAATGTGGAAATGCAATCTCTGCTATCGCGTCAATGAGTGTAAGTTAAGCCAAGCTTAAAACAAGATTCCAATTAATTAATGTACTCCAATAAGCAGTGCCCGAGGACTTCCAGTTTGATCCGGCTACAAAGACCTATGGCGATGTGACACGGCGACCCGAGGTGCGCTCCAGCACCATCGAGTTCATAGCGCCGTCGGAGTACATGCTGCGTCCACCACAGCCGGCCATGTATCTATTCCTGTTCGATGTGTCAATAATAGCGCAACAGAGCGGCTATTTGGAGGCAGCCTGTTCGGTGCTCAGTCGCCATTTGGACGAGATGCCGGGTGATGCGCGCACCCAAGTGGGTTTCATATGCTACGATAGCTTTGTGCACTTCTACAGCATGGCCGAGGGCCTAAATCAGCCGCACGAGATGACGCTCTTGGATATTGACGATCCCTTCTTGCCGCGCCCAGACAGTTTGTTGGTTAATCTCAAGGAGTGCAAGGAACTGGTAAGGGATCTGCTCAAGCAGTTGCCCAAACGCTTTTCCCACACCCATGATCCTGGCTCGGCGCTGGGTGCAGCCCTGCAGGTTGCCTTTAAGCTGATGGTAAGTGATCGGCAGCAAAACAATTGAAGCATCTAATTTATATTCTTTATCCACTTGCACAGCAAGCATCTGGCGGACGTATAACCGTATTTCAATCGTGCCTTCCCAACAAGGGACCTGGGGCGCTGGAAGCGCGCGAAGATCCCAACAATCGCTCGGCTAAAGATGTGGCCCATCTGAATCCAGCGACGGATTTCTATAAGCGTTTCGCTCTCGAGTGCTCCGGCTATCAGATTGCAGTCGATCTGTTTCTGATGAATCAACAGTATAGCGATATGGCCACCATATGTAAGTGTCTTCCCATGGAGTGTTTAAATATATATGTGTTCTAATCCTTTGCCTTTGTTCTGCAGCCGGCGTTAGCAAACATAGCGGTGGTTGTGTGCACCACTTTCCGCTTTACCAGAAGACCAAACAGCATATGGTGGACTCGTTTAAGCAGTGCTTCAAGCGCTATCTCACTCGCAAGATTGGCTTTGAGGCGGTGATGCGTATTCGCTGCACACGGGGCCTGCAGGTGCACACATTCCATGGCAACTTCTTTGTGCGCAGCACGGATCTGTTGTCGCTGCCAAATGTCAATCCGGATGCCGGCTATGGCATGCAGATATCGTACGAGGAGAGCCTCACCGATGTGAAGACCATTTGCTTCCAAGCGGCGCTGCTCTATACGAACAGCGAGGGCGAACGACGCATACGTGTCCATACTGTGTGTCTGCCGGTGACCTCGTCCCTGCCCGAGGTAATGCATGCCGCCGACACGGAAGCCATTGTGGGTCTACTCTCCAAAATGGCAGTGGATCGTTCGACTGCATCGAATCTATCGGATGCACGAGACGCCTTCATCAATGCGACCATCGACGTGTTCAATGCATTTAAGATTGCACAGAATCTGCCCTCCGGCCAGAGTGGCCAACTGATAGCACCACGCAGCTTGGCCCTGCTGCCCCTCTACATTTTGGCGCTACTCAAGCATGTGAGTCTCATCCTATTCCAATAATTGTTGGTTTTATCTAATTGTTGCACTTTTATACCGTAGCCCGCTTTTCGCGTGGGCACCAGCACGCGCCTGGATGATCGCGTCTTTGCCATGGACAACATGAAAACGATGCCACTGGATCAGCTCATGAAGTACATCTATCCCGAGCTGTACAAAATCGATGCACTCGTCTACCATGTGCGCAACACCAATTTGACCACAACGCAGGACGACGACGAGGATGATGACGAACTGCTGCCGGAAATGCAACGCCTGCAACTATCCGCGGAGCAGTAAGATTTTACCACCCCCCCCCTAGAAATCGATTGAACTCTATCTAATTGATCCTCTATCGTTTAGTCTGGACTCGCGTTCAATATTTGTGATGGACTGCGGCACGCTGATAATGCTCTATGTCGGCCTTAATGTGCCCACCGATGTGCTGCAAGCTTTGCTGGGTAAGTTAATTAAATGATTTTATCCAATAATTTCTGATATTAACGCAACCCATCTGCAGGCATTAGCTCGACCTCTGAACTGGCCGATTATGTATACGGTTTGCCCAACGTGGTCAGCCCCGAGAACGATGCGCTGAAGCGTTTTATATTGCGTCTGAACTACGACAAGCCCTACGCGCCCCTAGTGCAAATTATCAGGTGAGTCCCACTGAAGGTTTTACCAATTGAAATCTTGATGCTTATTTTAATTCTTTCTTGCAGGGACACAAGCACTGCGAAGGCGCAGTTTATTGAGAGATTAACGGACGATCGCAGTGAATCTAGTTTGTCATATTATGAATTTTTGCAACACATTCGGGCTCAGGTTAAATAGTACATAAGTCGAAAATCCTACTACTATTGTATGCAACATAAATACGAGTTTCTTCGAACTTAAAAAAAAAAGAAATGAAAAACTAAACAAAAAAAGTAAATTAAACAAAAACTCTGGTGACTAAAAGGTAGACAGACAAGCCAGGCCAGGCGGGAGTTGCTGCAGCCAGCTCAGATTCATATTAGATACGCATTATATGTTCATCCAACCCCCACACACCACCACCACCACCCCCTCCCCACTCCACAAAACAAAGATATGTAAAACTAAGTGCATAAGACAAGTAAATGAATGAGAATGTTAAATATGATAGAACTAAGTAACAACTAGAGCTGCACATTGAGAAGATCGTAGCTCGTTCTAAAAAAAAGAAAGAGAAAAGAAAAACATAGTTGTCCTCCTTGATATAGATAATTTAAAAAGTGCATATATTTATTTATTTGTTGATTTGTTGCACTAAAAATAAATAAGAAACAACAATTTACAAAATAATTACAAACAACAATAAACAATGAAAGGCAAAAAGCTGTCACAATTTTTTAGTCCTCATAGCCTGCAAATACTAGTAAGAAGAGTGAAGAGCAAAGTTATTTATTATAGCAATAAACCCAAATTGTATATTGTTTTTAGTCACAAGTGCTTTGGGTTTCCAAAAAACAAAGCCTTTAACTATTATATAAACCCTTTTTTTTTCTTCGATTAATTCAATTTGTTTTCCTATAATATTTAGTTGCTTGCTTGTTATTGCTTTGATTTTTACTTTTGCTTCAGCTGTTTTCCGTAGTATTTATTTTCCAAATAATAATTTTATATAGTTAATCTATAAGGTATTGGATTGACAAATCGATGGTATGCAGTTAGTTCATTGTAACGTATGTAGTTAGCCAACTTATTTCAATGTTTGTATTGGGAACAGTAGGTATATATAGTTGGTATTGTTTGATATTGCATGGACTTCTAAGGAACGTTTCGTCTTAAGCTTAAAAACAAACATATATTATACATAAATACAACAACATAAGTAAATAATTGAAACACACATAGGTAATTCAAGGTGACACACACATGCAAAGTAGTTGGAAGAATAACTTTTGTACGATTCAAGGAATTGCTAATATTCAATTTATTTCATTGAAATGTATTAACTACCGAGCGAAATAAATTAACGTATGTTGTACCATAAACTATAAATCATATATATTAAAAATAGAAAGCAAAAATAAAATTTTAAATAAAGCAAATAATTTGTATGTCACCATTTGTCCAAATGCTATTAACTATTACCTTTGCACAGATCAAGTTATTGTTTATTATCTTGGGTATATCACATCCGATTTGCAAACGATATACCTTCTTGGACTCGTAAAGATCGGGAACATTGATTGGCATTAAAATATCCGCAGCCTTAAATTAAAACCATTTCGATAAAAATGGGGTATATTCTGGAATTAAATTTTGTTAATGCCCATCTAGTGTACAGCGACTAACTAGTCCTAAATCTAAAGCATATCTCTTCAAGATCAGACTTTATTTACTCAAGAAATTGCCCTTTGAAGGTTTTGTAATATTTGAATTGTTATATATCAAGCAAGAATAATAGAATGTTGCCAGGTTTAGATGCCAAATTGATTTTGTATATATGAATGCATGTATGCATGCACGTTTGTGTATGTGTGTGCGTATCTAAGTAAGGCTTGCAGGCTTCACCTATGAATTAGGCGCAGGCGGCTTCAACGTTGGAAGCTGAGGAGCCGGAGGAGCAGGAGCTGGAGGAGGAGCAGGTATGTATGTATGTATGTATATATGTATGTATGTATGTGTGTAATTGTGTATGTATGTATGTGTGTATGAATGTATGTACGTATGTATATATGTATGTTTTATGTATGTATGTATGTGTGCATGTAGGTATGTATGTATGTATATGTGTGTATGTAAGTATACATGTATGTATGTCAGTATATATGTATTTATGCATGTGTGTATTTTCACATGAATTTTGACCAAGAATAATGTTGCCAGGCCTTGCCCGTGGCACCTTATGAGTTTTAATATTAGTTTTAAGCCGTTCTTACGGTGAAAAATATGAAACACAGTTTTATATGTAGAGATATAGTCAGATCTTCGTATGATATATGTAGTTAAAAAAGAAAATCCCAAAAATGTATGTTTTTGTATAAATGAAATTTATGTTTTAATAAATTTAATGAGATGTTGGTACATAGGGATCGAAGTCTAACCACAGATTACTACAAAAAAAAAAAGAATAATTTAAAATCGAGTTGGAAAACTTGTTATCATGACTTACGGATTGAAGTAGGGCGACCTTGGTGGATATTTTTGTTTTGCAGGTGGATTAAGAAACATAACTGTCCTCTGTTCCGACTGTGCAGGAGCCTGCGTAAACGTCTCCCCCACATTGTGGGCCACTTGTATGTGTTTCTCCAGGAAATCGAGGCTCAGGTAGACATTATTGCACTTTTCACACTTAAACCGATTTCGAGATTCGATTTGAATCAGGTGTGCCGCATGGAAACGTTCGTGGTGCTTCTGCAACTCCTGTTCGGAGCGTAAGCTTCTGCCGCAAACATCACAATTGAAGAATTTTGTAGTTGTATTTTCGGCACATTCCGCAAAGTGAGTCAGAAAGTGTTGCTGCAGCTCATCAATGTCCGTGAACAGTTGCTGGCAGAGAAAACAGTTAATTCCACCCTCCTCCAGCTCCACAATGCAACAGTCGTCATCTTCGCACTCTTCCATTTGTGCAGCTGTTCTCTTATACATTATTTGATTTCGTGCTTCGATAGGAATTTGATTAGTTGACAGCGATGACAACTGGTTCAGCATATCTCTCAGCTGCAAAAGATCAGTGTTGTATATCTCTTAATTATACCAATTATTGGGATCAAACTCTTATAAAAACTTACATACATGCAAATTAAGCGCCATACTGTTGCCAAGGTTACGTTATTTACATATGTATGTACATATCTATATAAATGTTCTATATTCTATTTGACTCAATATGTATGTATATATAACTGTATACAAGTCTAAATATTTGTTTCCTTGGCGATTACAGAATTGCGGGGTTCTTTAAAGTTTATATTTTTGTTTTCTTTGCATCCGCTTTTTTTTTCGTAGCTCCGTCTCCGTCGGGCATAAAAATAGAACTGCGAGCAACGCAAACCAGAACCGAGTTTCAATGCGATATACAGATCCTAAGGGTGTGTGTCTGTTGTGTGTGGGATGGCGAATTTATGAATGTATGCATGTGTGTGCAATACAAAAGGCAAAACAACATTACGGTAAAAGTCAAAAACAAAAAAAGCAGATATCGTACTGGCCCTTATCTATGCATAGCTATCCTACGAACAGTGTGTGCATATGTATGTATGTATGTATAACTGTCTGATTAAGCATAGCCGTATTTACATACATATGTATGTATGTATGTATGTATTTATGTATCGCGACATGCTTGAAACTCGTCTCATAATTATCGTACCCCCACCCAAACAATTTGTCGAAAGTATCATATTTTAATTGAAAAAAAAAAACTATTTCAAAAAACTGGAAGTCATTGAAATATGTATGTATGTATAATATTCAAACATTTGTCCATTTGGTTCCAATGTCGTAACCTGATCTGAGACAGTTTTGCAGAGCTGAGCCCACTTACGACTCGGGTTGTTGGTCAAATGTTAAGTAGATTTAAATTTCTGGATTGTGTTTGCCATGAGAATTGATTTTAAAATGTTTCGATTGCGCTAAGAACTAATCCCAACTGATCCCTCATTTGTTGAATTTGAGATCCCTGACTTGAATTTATTTTCTAAAATCTTTAAAACTCTCTGCTAAATATTTGTCTATTAAGCCTATGAAGGGATTTCTTCTTATCATCTAAAGTGCCATTTTAAGTATATATTGCATGTTATCTCATATAACGAGCGTATGGTACTTAATTTTATTTAAAATATATACGAATCAAAGATCTAATAAGAAAGAGGAGATTGAGTGCTGAAAAAGTCGAAAAAGTCAATAAAAGAAAAATTGGTTAACTGCTTAGCTCAAGGATTAGAAATAAGATAAGAAAAATCGTCCAAAAATAATAAAATAACAGTTATTTTGAGGGGTGGAAAATGAGAAACCTTTTCAGACACATGCTCACCAGATGTTCCGTTAATTTCTACCCGTCACGGCTATTTCATACGATTTTAGAGTGTTCTATATTATTGTCATGAAGTGTGAAACGCATAGACCAAGATATCTCCGATAAATATATATATACATATATATGGAATAATCGGTTTTCAAGATATCTTTAAGAAAATCAACAAGCTTCATTACTCTCCTTATATATCTGCCCGTAAGCCGAAATTCTAGATGAAGATATCTTAAAACATATGAAAGATTTCCTTAAAAGAAATCAATTGGCGGATTGGGAGCTATGATATAATATTCGGGTACATATCACAGTTGCAAATATTATATATTTATATCAAAATGAGATACGTGGCCTTAAATATTAAATTGTTGGTAGCTTGGATCTCTTGGAATGGACATTGTACTTACCCCATATGCAAGTACATAACTAAATAAAACAGAGTTCTTTTACAGTGAAACATACATATAATATATTGCATCGTATTGCTAGTTTGTTACACATAAATAAAATATGAATTGACTGTACTTACAATCCATTCACCGATTCCACAATAAAACGTTATTCGATCGAGAGCCTGATGTTTCCCGGCTCAGGCTCGGATCCCAACTGAATGGATCGCAATTGTTGTTAACATTTTTATGCTGATGTTGTTTACAAATCGAGCGACGACCGGATCGAGTTTCCCTTTATCAACAGCTTTTTGTTTATTTAGTCAGAGCCAACGAATCGTCGGAGTTCCATTTTTGCATTATCAGCAGTATTTTGCTTATTCCCGGTGCGGCGGGTTGCACATTCAGATTCATTCTATAATATATATATAGTATATATGTATATAGTATACATGTATATATAGTCCGTGGAACTGGGCAAATAAACAACTCATCATTTTTGCAATTTTCAGTTCGGTTCGGTATTCGTTTTGCGTTTCGCATTCGGTTGTCGATGTTGCGGTTCTTCACGAAATAAGCGACGAATTCTTATCTTATATTAATATATATACACATATGTGACACGTAAATAACATTATATATACCAGATTGTTCAGATGTTCTAAACAATGGGAAGAAATACATATTTTAGCAGCTTAGCTGCCAAGTAGGAAATGCTATCGCTTGCGATAAGCTTCGACTTAAAACGAACTTGTGATTTAAATATTAAAAACTAACTAAGGAATGAGAATCTCAAATATATATAATAATATCATGTAGCCTCATGAGGCAATTGTATAGATGCAGCGCAATTCCTTTATATGTACGCATCATAGTCCACCCAGAGATTTCTAAAAGTGCCAACCAGAATATTATAAAGGAAACATTTCAATGTACTTTCAAGGATTCAAGGACTTACGGATTAAAGTAGGGCGAACGCAGCGCGTACTTCTGCTTGGGCGGCGGCTTCAGGCAAGGATCCAGCTGCCGTTGGGCTGTGTCTGTGGGTGGCACGTATTTCGCGGCGGACTCTGTGGCCGGGCTGTAGTTGGCCGCCGCAACGGCATTCAACAAATTCGTGCTATAAACGCAACGTTTGGGCTGATCCCGTTCGGCAGCTGGAGCTGCTGCTGGAGCTGGTGCCGGACGTAGAGGACGTGGCGGACACTCCGGACGGGACTGTTCCAACTGTTCGACGTGCTTGTAGGCCATGTGCTTGAGCAGAAAGCTGTCACGCTTGTAGCCCTTCTGGCAGATGGGGCATCTCAATTGCTTTCTGGACCACCATTTATTATTGGCTTCATAGGGCAGGCGGTGCTGCTTCATATGTGCCTGCAGGGACATTGTCGATCTGAAGACTTTGCTGCAATGATCGCAATGCATTTCTGTCCTCTCCTTGCCCTGTGCCGGTGGATCAGCGTTGATTGTCATATCCTTTGTCAGCCGGCTGTGCCCACCGTTTACCTCAATCCCGGCTGGCGGGGGCAGGGGGCACGCATTGGGTGCATCCACGGCTGCTAGACGCCCGTGGTAGTTTAACTGTGCGGCGTGCATGATCAGGTGCTCCCGGAGCCTGTCAATGTCATTGAAGGGCTGTTTGCACAGGAAGCAGGGTATGTGCACTATATAGCCCTGTGGGGGGTAGGCGCTGTTATTCGGGGCCAGCATTGCGGTCAGCAGCGGCATGTTCGGCTGCTGTACTCCCATGCCCAGCGGGGAGAGTGGGGGAGTGACTAAAAGCGGCGGCGCTGTGGCAAAATTCTGATTGGGATGCCATTTCCATTCCCCAGTAGGTGGCGCTATTGTGCCTACGAACTCTACATCATCATCATCGCTATCATCGTTGTGTAGAGTTGGCGCCGGACTCTTGGGCAGTTCGAACTTCGTGCTCGGCTGTTTTCGAATATGCCAATTAAATATTAAACGCTGCTGTCAATTAGTTTTAAAAATATAAAATCAACTTACAAGTTCGTGATCCATAATATTTACTTCTTATCTCTGTGCTTTGCTTTAGCTGATACTTGTGATGTGTCTTATTAAACGTTAAGCTCGCGTTGTGTTCATCTAGAAATTTCACAACGAACTGACTTGAATTTCTTGTCAAACGTTCCTTATATACTGCACACGGATGCACGCGTACACATACACATGCACGCCACCAAGGCTTATGTGTGTGTGTATGTGTGATTGCTTTGTTAAAAAAAAGATTCTGTCCTGTTTCAATTCTAACTTATTCCCTTATCTGTCTTCTTTTTCTTTTTCGCAACTTGCGTTTCTCCTTTCTTTCTAAGCAGCGTCTATTTTATAACTGTTCTATTCAATTGCACGCACACTGAAAACACAACGCGGAGGCGTCGCTCACAGCAATGAACGAAATTAAAACATACCCCCCCACTCTCACACACACACACGCACACACACACATATACACTAATTAATATTCTTGTTATGCTTGTGTGTATGCATAGTTGAATGTCTGCATAGATATGCTTCTATGTGCTGTTATGCATACACACATGCAACAAGTCGGAGATCTTTGCCGAGATTAAATGAAATGTGTGTATGCATGTGTGTGCATCAAAATTAAATGTTCAATAATTTCGGGCGATAAGCATTACAATTTTATATTCACTTTCCACACACACATATTCAAATAATTGAATAATTTTTTTGCTCAAAATATATAAAAATACCGACGCGCGCTGATTATTAAAGTCTCCACTCGGAGATAGAAACCTGTTTGCTGCGTCGTTTTTTAGCTTTACGCGGTGTAGCTGACTTAGAACAGGACATCTAAGTAAATACCTACACAGAGCAAATGTCTGGACATATATGTAGATAAAGAGATATGCAACTATCTGCATAGATAATAAAAAGTGGCATGCGCACTTCTGCAGCACTTAATTGCTGCGTAAGTGTTGCAAAATGAAGCAATTTGTGATGAAATGGTTAATTAATTTTTTAGAAACATCAAATATTCGAAACTTTTTACAAACTTGACTGATTGTATGTATTAGGAACTGTCTGATTTGTTGATTTTTAAGGAGCTGAATACGTTTTTTAAATAAAAGCTGTCAAATACCCGAATCTGGCTAAAAAAAAAAGGACACACACTTTGTGTCATCGAGATTTATCTCACAATAAAAAAGAGGTTAGGTCGAGATGAAACAAGTAAACAATGACATTTTCGCTTTCAACCCCTAGTGTCTTTTTTTTCCCAATTCCCTTTATTAATTGGAACCCTTGAAGCACAACATTATCCTGGTTGATAATCTAATTAGTTTTGGGCAAGGCAAATGTCAATTTTGTTATAGGCTGCAAAGATACGAGTGACTGTACCTCAAATAGAATAAAACTGCAAATTTTTCTCTACTCTGAATGGGATTTAAATGTCTTAAATGTCCAGTCTTATGTAACCAACATTCTTGTCCTATCTTCGACTACTTAACGGGATATTTGGGATAATTTGCATTCCTAAAGCAACTTTTCTAACACTAAGTTGACATATTTAATAAATGGCGATGACTGTACACCTTTTGTCTTATAAGTCAGTCACTCGGTTAGTTTACCTGTTTTTGAACGAACCTTCCAGAACCTAGCGATCCTTTACACCAAATTTTGGTTTTTACAGCTGGTCGACTTAAGGCATAAACGGGGTGAGCAGGTTATTTCTATCAGTTCGCTGCTGTAACCACTTGAGAATTAGAAGCAACGAAAAGGCTTGAAAAGTAGCAAAATGTCATATTTTGTACAGATTTAATGGTTGTGCTTTAAATAATTTGTTATAGTCTCAAATTTATAACTAGCTGCAAACCCAAATTATAAACATTTTGTATTAAAAAACATTTGAGACTTTATTGAAGTTTGTTTCCATTCAGGTTTGTTATCAGCTCGATGCGAAACTCTCGTCAGAACCATAAATATGATTATTAATATTTGGTTATATTCGATGTGTGTGGAAATAATAATATCAATATGTGTAGTATATTTAATACGTTATTTGATAAGAATAATGCAGTTTTTAGTTTCGTATTTATTTGTTAAACTTATTTCATATTTGCTCTTATTTCTTGTTTCATTTTTAATTTGTTAAGAACACTAGCTACGGTTACAATTAAATATAATTATTTATATATATATATATATATATAGTATAATTATATGTATTTATGGACTAAGCGCTTAACAATTATGGCCGGGTGCTAAAATATGTACAGATTTGTGTGTAACCGATTAATAAAAACATTTCTGAGATAGGCGAGAGACAGAGAGAGAGAGAGAGAGAGAGAGAGAGAGAGAGTTTAAAACAGTTTTAGATGCTTCAACTATATACAATATAATGTTTAATTCTACTTGGGACAGAGGTCTTAAACTAAAAGGAGCCACAAAACGAATGCGTATGAAATGTTGAAATCTTACGTATTGCTTAAATTGTAAATACATAAGTAAAATTTGATGATTTAGTGTATAATTTATAAGACTATCCGCTCCGATATTGTGATATATATATATGTTTCTGTATGCACATGTAGAAGCAGTATGAGTGATAGGAACGCGCCCTTCTATATATGCGATATTTGTAATTTCTAAAAACAATACGAAAATCCAAAACACGTCAAAAATATATAAACTATATACATATAGTTTTTACAACTAGATGCGCATAGGTATTTTTTTGGTGTGCATGAAGGGTGCTGTTTATAAATAATCTTTATAGATGATTCTCAGTCGGTATCACTTCGCCCAGAATGCCTTCGCGATGAGTGCGTCGAATAACGCCTTGGATCGGCCGGCATTAGGCATTAGGCATTAGACATTGCGATTGCGCTGCTGTTCGCTGGATTCTGCAAGGCATAAAAGAAGCATATATTAAATATATAAAACAAACTAAATGTTGATTTATAAGTGAGAACAATTAAAGCTCGTAAAGAGTGGATAGCATGTGGGCGTGTGTGTTCTGGGTTATGGGGAGGATTTGCTCCCAACATGAATGGTTAGTTCGACTCGACGCAAATAGACTAATACACTTAACAAAGAAACAGAACAGAAATTTTGATAACACAATTTGGCGTGTTCCACCTACCGAGTGTTAGGGCCAAAAACATAAACATAACATTGTGGCTATCAGTAACTAGAATTTTGGCTCACGCGCGCTCTCGCAGTGCAATATCTGTGCACATGACCAGGCAATCCGAATCGAACAGAAGTTTTGGGTTGGGTTGTGTTGGCGCCGATCTCAAATCGTTGGCTGTTGTTGAGAAAGGCGCCGGAAACGTGATAGAATATATTTAGAATTGAGTTAGGACCCATAGACCCATATATATGTACAGTTACATATATCTAAATAGATGTTGAATGCTTACCCAGGCTGACGCTTGTTGCCTTGGCCTTGTCTCTGATTATGAAGCAGGCGGTGATCAGGAAGAATATGCCGCCCAGCACCTCCACGAAGGTGGTGGAGAACAGCGAATACTGCAGAGACTCGAAGGACAAGACATCATCCGTGGGCTGCAGGCGAAAGAAGTGGATAAATAATTAATTGTTGTATTTCGTTTAAGGAGGAAGCTCAATTGCTTACCGCTGCTCGTGGATACGGCATATCCTTAATGCTTTCCGTTACAGTTTCCGTGGCATTTTCCAACACTTGCGACAAGCTCTGCATGCTGTTCTGGCTAATTAGTAATGTCGTCGACGAGCTCAGACGCTTCTTAATCGCAACCGATATCTGTAAATACATAAATTATAGGTTAAAAATGGAAGTCATATAATGTCCACTCATTTCAGATACTTACGACGCCCACGAGGTACGGACTGCCGGCATCGCCCAGCGCATGTGAGATGAGTATTTGGAAGGCTTCCGCAGTTGAGCGACGCGTGGGCACCACCACGTACTACATAAGGGTTAACAGATTTAATTAGTTTTCTATTAAAAAAAAACATTCGATTTAAAAACAAGCAGTGTTACCAACAACAACAACAACTAGAACAAAAAAGCATAGCCAGTGTTAAGCAGTGTATTTATTAGGTTTGTATGTGCATTGGCAAAAGCTCACAAGAGATGGCGCCACTTAAGAATGTATGGCAACAGTCTGTGGTTCGCGTCCCAGATTACCCGAATCGCAAGTGGGAACAGAATGGCGCGTGTGCGCTCGCTTGGGAACATTTCTGTACGCTCGACCGACTGACTGACCGACCAAAACTTGACTGTGGCAATTTGTTGTCTACATTTTGTACAATTCTTTACAATTAGAAAATAATAAGCTACATTAACTGTTTACTGTTATAAGCAAGTGAGTGTGCAGCGTGTCTCTGTGTGTGTGTGCGTGTGTGTTTAAGTTTGTGTGTGTGTGTGTCACAAATAATAACCAAATAAATAAATTAAGCAAAGCTGATTACAGATATCTCGAAATATGATTAATGAATACAATCAAAAGTTATCTACTCTCTTTTTTTTTGGCAATTTAAATTTGATTTTAGATTTCAGTTTTTTTGTTTCAATATCTGTGAACAGTAGGAAGCGAGCATTTCTCATACGCCCGTGGCCAAAGCGGAACTGTTCTCATGCCCAAAATAGCAACTTGTCGCATAGTGGAAATATATGTTACGTGTTTGCAGCTAAAAGCAACAGCAAAAAAAACTTTGTTTCTTTATGTTTTGTACAACAGCTGATCGGAAAAGATACATAAATAACTCTGGGCAGGGGAATTTCCACTCTAGATCGACAATTTTGGGGTTGCAAAAAGCCGCATACTTGATTGGAATTTGCAGCCCCTTTGTGTGGGGTGGCTTAAGAAGGGGGAGAGTGGGGGGGGGGGGGGCGGGGGTTGGCTGGCCTGTTGCACCCTCGGGGCTTGGTTTATGAGGGTGGCTATGCCAAACAGTTGGGAGGGTGACAAAAACCCATTACCAGAGTGTCATAATGCAAAGGATAACTCAAGGATATGCAGAGCTATGCAAGAAAATTTGTATGCAAGTCAAGAGTTAATTTAAAAGCTATGCTTGAAGAGCATTAAAAAACCAACACCGATAAATCAATTTCTTTTTAAATTGTGTTATGTAAATGCCTGAAGTTGATTTTCTACAAATGAAAGGACTAGCATAGACTTTGGCAAAAAGGAATTTTAGTATTTCAAAAGAATGGGACGAGAAAAAGTGGGAAAATGTTTAAATACCCGAAGATAACTGTCTAATTTTGAAATATTCTATGGTAGAAATTATAAAATAAATATACATATGTATATAAAAGCTACAAAACAAAACTGAAAAGATCGCCAAAATCAGTATTCAATTATATATAATACTTATGATTTTGAATTCTTGATTGTTTAAAAGGCAGTTTTTCTTACTATTTCTCAATTTTTGAACAATAATTTCTAAGGTGTAAGGTATATGATATATTGAAACGATCTGGCAGATGTCGAAATTTAACAAATTAGCATTAAATGTCATTTAAGTTCATCAAGTTAGATTAGAAAACAAAAAAAAGGACATGACTATATAGACGTCGACCGTCTATATAGTGTATATATATATATATATGTATAGTCATATATCATATATCATCTGTGGGGTTAAATGAGAAACCAGCACCAGGTAAATGCGCTTTAAACTTACAAGACTTTACAGCATAGGTATTAGAATGTGTGCGTGTGTGTGTGTGTGTGTGTGCGTGCGTATTATAACAGTAAAAAATTAATAGTTTATACAAATTGTTATCGAAACATTTAAAATAAGTGTGTGCAAAATTACAAAAGCCAAATATGTTACTCTATAGAAGATCTGCATTTCTAAGATTTGTGCGTGTGATTTTAATAACAATTTGAAATTTTGATTTAAAATGGAGATCAGAGAGATCAGTTTGAGAATTGTTTCCGATCTGATTCTTACCAACAAAATGTCCGCAACAATTGCCCAGTTCACGTTAATGGCTAATTGGCCGAAAAAGATTAGGACATAGGTGAGTTCCGTCTGGCTAGAGACGATCAAACAGGCGCCGGTTAGCAGCGGGGCGCTGAGCAGCAGGCCGGTGGCACAGATCACAGGGTCAGAGGTCGGGCAGCGTTTCATTAGAACTTGCGACAGAATTGCGCCCAGCGGCACGCCCACAATGCCAGCGATCATGGTAATTAGGCCAAATTTGAATGCAACGCTATAAAAATTGTTAACAATTTGTTGGGTTCGTTTTTAAAAGGCTGGTTAGCAATAGGCAAAGGTTATGATTTAGGGGCGTGGCAGGCAGTTGTTGTTGTTGCTGCTGTTAACACTGGAGTCGGCGGCGATCCTTACCAGCAGGATGTCGGCCACAATGGACCAGCAGAGATTGAGCGCCACCTGCGCCACAAAGACGAATATGAAACAGAGCGTTCCGCTGGTGCGCGGTATAATCAGGCCAACGAAGACCATGGGCGCCGATATGAACAGTCCGATGGCGCAGATATAGGGATCACAGTTCTCGATCCGGCTGCGATAATATTGAGCGAGCACCGAGCCGAGCGGCACGCCAATCAGGCCCGCGGCCATTGCGACAAGGCCGAATTTGTAGGAGACACTTTTTTTTTTTTTAAAAAAAAGACGCAACAACAACAAGAAGCTAAAACTTAATAAATGTTCTTTTTTCCTAAAGGGGGGGGGAAATGGGGTCGGGTAGTTGGGCAAGGAGAATATTAAGACTTACTCGTCCAGCTGGAGGTTCTCGTTGCCGGGCTGCATCTTGAGGCCCAGGTGAATGTAGGTGGGTCCCCACCAGGCGAGGGCGCCGGCGACGAAGGCGACGCACGTGAAGCCCGCCGTCGACAGCATGAAGGATCGATTCTTGATCAGCTCCTTGATGTCGATGAAGAAGCTGGTTGGCTCCATATGCGATTGGCCCTCGCTTTCGCCGCGCTTCGGGTCCTTGATCAGCAGGATGAGCACCACGGCGAACACGCCCAAAACGGGCGTCACTCGCAATGCCCAGCGCCAATTGTTGGCCAGCTGCGCGGTCTTCGAGCCGACAATGTATCTGCGGGTTGGAAGGGGGGGGACAACAAATGCAACAAATGCGTTGATTAGTGATTGCATGCGGCAAGTGGCAAGTGGCAAGTGGCGTGAGGCATGCGGCAGATAGGGGCCTGAATTGCCTGTCAATTGGAGCAGATTCTAACAATTGACCCCACTTAAGAGCCGCCACTTTAATTGAGTTTAAATTTAATTTACATTTGATTTGCCGATTTCTATAAATAACCAAAAAAAAAATAAAAAAAACTAACTAAATTTATGCGCAATTAAACTTTCAACTGCAGCCAAAAGGTGAATCGCCAACAATTCTCTGGCTATTTCTCACGGCTGCTGCGTGAGAGAACTTTACACCCAGCAGGCGATCTGATGGGCACACACGTGACGACCCAGACGATTGCCCACAGATACGATTACGGCTCTTATCAATAAACCCCATAACCTTGTCCCACTATCTATATGGCACGCCAGCGGGTAGCTGTGTGCTGCTGTTTCCAGCTCAAATGACACTGGCTCTCCCCCTTTCCCCTCTTTTTCAGTTCAGTTCAATTAACTTGATTATCAATTATCTGTTTGATCCCAGCTGTTTACGTTCCTGCCTGAATGTTTATGTTACTGTTAATGTTAACGTTTATGTTATTGCTAATGTTAACGTTTATGTTAATGTTTATAGTTAATATGAATCATATAGATATACGCTATTTGTCTATTTATCTATAGTTATTTTTGTCTAACTTTAAGGGCATCGTATCAAATAGTTCCCAATCTATTCTATTCGGATTGTTTAGTTCCTTATTCCTCATTTCTTATTGTTCAGTTGCCTGAGTAAATTATGTATATACATATATATATATATATCAATAAATATATACGCATATATATATTCCTGCTATATCAACAACCGATTCTTTATAGCCAAGGCTGTCTGTCTATTTATTTTTAAGACTTTCAGTTTTCAATTATTTATGTATTTTTCTTGCATCATATTCAATCGTGTACCGACTCCGTGCTATATATCATATATAGCATATCTGATATACGCACAATGAGTCGAATATTAAGCACACATTTTGTGGCTCTCAAACATATTTTGTTTAAACATTTGTGCTCTTTTTTATGTATCCAAAATTTTCCAAAAATTTGATTATTATTATTTCCCTTAACTTTAAAAAACATTTGTTCTGCAAATTGTCTATAATATATATAAAGCTGTTAAGTAAAATTTAGCTGATAATCATTCCAATCAATTCCCTATATACATATCTCCCTTTTTTCGACAGATATTCCAAGCCAACTAATCAACTACGAACATTATTTGTTGCTTCTGCTAACTTGGTCAACTAAAAAAGTAAAGATCCAAAATCGAGGTTCGTATTATCACGACTTCGGTAGTCCGAAGAGGACTTTTTCCTTTTAGTTTTCTCTTTTTGTTGATAGCTTACCCCAGACCAGAGCCCACGGGTATGGCAAAGTAGAACATTGCCAGCATTTTGGTGCGCATGCTGTTCACAAACAGATCCGAGATGATTGTCGGCGCTATGGTGCTATACGAGGCCTCCCCGATGCCGACCAGGGCGCGGAACGTGATGAACCAGCCGAAGGTGTGCATATACGAGCCGAGAAGTGTTGTTGTCGACCAGAGGGCCACGCCCACCGCCATGAGCAAGCGACGCGGATACCGATCGCCCAGATAGCCGAAGAGGGGCGCAAAAATCATGTAGGATACAACGAATGCTGTTTGTAGCAGGCCTGCATTATCGTTGTCTATGTCAAAGTCTTGCTTTACTTCCGTCAATACACCTGGAAGGGAGAAAAAAAGCGAGAAATTGGATATATGATAGCTATATAGACTTATATATATATACATATATTTAGTGGCTCTTTGAGATTAGCTCGTGATTTTTAAACATGCCAGGCAGCTGCTTTTGCTGCTGCTCCTGTTAATTGGCTAAACAAATATGGCATCCGCTCGTTTAAATCTTTACGTAAGTTAGCACCAGGGTCTGGCTGTTAGTTCATTAACTAAGCTATTAATACTCATGATTCTATGCTTAAAAATAGGTCCACAAATATTGAGTTAGAGTCAACAACAGAATGTTAACCAACATTGCACTAACTTTAACGCTGTTAAATTAACATAACTGCGCTGTTATCAATTATTTATAGATAGCTCGCGTTTATACTTAGGAAATATCTGAATGTGGAAACCATAGAAGTAAACCAACATGTTTTTCCCTTGTAGGTATAAAGGTATTATATTAATAATCACACTGACACATCGTATTTTTTTTATTTAGAATAATTTGTCTATATATATATTTCGAATGAATCAGCGGGCTTCATAAGCCCTGAAATGTAAACAAAAACATAGGAACTAGGCAAACGAAATTAACCTTATGCTTGTCGTAATTATTTAATCAATTGTTGATAAATGAAAAGTAACCGAGATTATGTTTGCTTTGTTTTGGCAACATTTGAACTGATAACGCAAAATCCGGAACTGAACGAAACCAAAATAATATAATAAAAACCCTGACATTCTTTTTATTCATATGTCCAGCTGATTATCTCATGCATAGAATTCAAATTATTAGACGGATATGCAAGTCATTAAGAATCATCGTAAATAATAACATTGACACGACCTAGCTAACAACAGTTCAACTGTTCAATGCATTTCCTATATTTAACGGGGCCGTCGAAACTTCAAAGATACAGACATACGTGCGCTGCCCTTTAACAGCAACGGTTAACAGTTAACGGATTTGTAGAGCCGAAAAGCCGAACCAAAATAAATATATAAAAAAATTAAAGATGATCAGCTATTTGCCGCTGTGGGTTGCTGAGGAGTACAGCGGGGGGGCGAACGTTGCAAGCGCCGGCATTCGAAAAGCGATACATGGCCAAAAAAAAAAACTCAATAAGTGGAGACCGAACAAAACGTGGAAACGACCGACTATAAAAGCCGAGCGCTGCACTCGACGACGTGGCGCGAAGTCAAACGAAGTGAATCAGCAAGCCACAAATGTGCGGCTGACGTTTTTGTTATTGTTGTTTCTTTTCTGGGTCTCATTTCGCTTTTGAGAAATTTATCGTACGATGTTTTTCGACCAATCAGCGCGTTTGTTTGCCCAGTGACGTAACGGTGAGTGGCGAGCGCCACGCGATAAATCCAATGTGGGGTGTGTAAGCCACATACAAATGTTTGTAAACATCTATGAAGTGTATGTATGTACGTTTGTGTGTGTGTGTGTCTGTAAGAGAGCAACTATTTGCACACAACGAGAGACAGTGCTAGCAAGGTTTTGCGTTTGTTTATGGCGCTGCGCCCGTGCTGCAGATAGCGCACGAGGGCAGAGGCAAGACGGCGCAACGAATGCTTGGCTTTGGCTTTGTTGTTGTAGGCGACAAAACTGCGATCGGGAATTTTATTTTGCCGGTTTTAGAAACTTGCGCGTAATTTTAGAACCAGTCTGCGCTCTCACGCTCACGCTCACGCTCTCGCTCTCTTTCGATGACGCTCTCATGGCTGTGACGCGGCTAGACGGGAACTGATAAATCTCCAGCTAGTGGAGGAACCTTGTCCGACAGCAGTTGTTTAAGAAGAAGAACGGCTGCCTCACATACTGGAACGTCGGCCTGTCTCATTAATATGAATGAAAAAAAGGTTACAGCCAAGTTGAGAGCGATTGTGATTGGCCTTGAAAAATCGCACAATTGCAATTTCAAGCAAAAAGAGCTGCGAGTTTGAGATGTTTCAGACAGCGTTAAATGGCATTGTTAATATGTCGTGTTTTTTTTTTGTTTTTCGTAATTTACATTTTTTTGGGAAAGCTTGCTTTTCATAAATGCAACTTTCTTTTGTAAGCTGGAAGTATAGAGAAAAAGAAATCGCCTAAAAGTTGCGCGCATCAATACACAAGATAAAGGCAAAGCTCTAACTGTTCACACCTCGTCTTCTTCTTCTCGCTGCTTATGTTTATGTGGTTATTGTGAATTGAATTTGTGCTTTTTACAGGTCGCTGTTACTGTCGCTGTCGCTCTTTGCTTTGTCGCCGTTTACCCCGCGCCGGTCATTGACATAGAAAACAAAAGCAACGCTAAAAATAATGCAAAAATGCAGCAAAATCAACGACAACATTTGACAAGGTGTGCAATGCGAAAGCGACAATAAAGAGACTGAATATGCAATAGGAATATGTGTCTGGCCTATGATCTAAAGCTTACGTTCGTGTATTTGAATATACATAACATAGAATGTAAAGAATTAGCATACAAGAAACGTCAGAGCACTTACATTTATGTTAATGTTATTGGGCATATGCTGTTAAACGAGGAAATTAAGAAAGCGGAACCATAACCTGTCGAATGTTTTATACATTTTGTGTGTTGGAAATGTTTAATCAATCACTTAATTTAATTTTAATCCCATTCACGAATAAAGTAATGGGTAAAACTGTGTCAATCTGATCCTACCAAGCATTTTCCTGATTATTGAGACGATCTTTATCGATTATCTGTCTGAGTTTCTTTATATAGTTCACTTTTGATTTTCCTGAAGTTTCGCCTTTATATTGGGAGGCTCCCCCTAGTCAAGCACTCTCAGCTAGACTTTTTTTTTTACTTATTTTACAGACTATCTTTATAAATGTTACCCGTGCTTCTGTAAATATTTCCCCTTTTGATAGCTCTTGTAGCGAAATTCATAAAAGCGAGCAAAATGAAAGTTTTTTTTTTTTGCTGGCAACTTTGTACAATACGTTAAAACTGAATTCGACAACAACTTGTTATGCCAAGAGAAAAATAGACTTGAATAATATGCAAAATATACCACAAACTGAAAGATACAAAGCGATATAAAGACGACGCTTCAAAATGTCAATACCAAAACCTCACGTAATATTTTCGTATGTACGATTTGGTAAACATTCGACTGCGTATTTAGTAAATAATCATTGCTCAAAATTCCGAAAGCAAAATGCAGACAATTATTGTACTAGTATTGAGTTTTCTTATTTTATTGGGATGGTCTTTGCCTTGGAAAGTGGCCAACATGTTACGTAGAAGAAAAGCAGAAGCCAGTGGATGGGCTGTTTTTGAGATACATATATGTTTATGTACATGTATATACATATATATATTGGATCTCTTCGACACTAGCTGAACGCCTGTCATATAGAACAAAGTTCAGTACTTGGGAATATGGTATATACATATATACATATGTACAGATATATATCTGCATATATATGTTTATTTTTACCTTAAATTGTCAACAGCTGGCATCAGCAGATTCTTTGTTTATGCTGCATGAATGAAAGCAATAATTTGGTACGTGAATTACTCAAACTCAAACAAAATACAATAAAACCAAACAAACATCAGGCGATAAATTGCGATATGAAAAATGACCAATCGCAATGTATTATGCGTTTATTTAAAGTGTTGAGAATCGCTTGGGGTCACGACGTTGAGGCCACCTCTGGCCTGCCATAATAAGCGAATGCATAACATTAAACTCATGCCAGACATCGGGCGATATAACACATACGCCACACTCGTACAATATGGTTAAAGATTTCCCAACACTCAAAGTTAATGGAAATGAGCGCGTGGCCGCGTGTTGAAATGGATTCAAATGCAAACGTTTATTTATCATGTTGCAAATTTTTGAAGACATGAAGGTTGGCTATCTTTTGGCCAAAATCTATGCCACTCACAAATTGGCTTAAAGTGGATTCAATCACGTGCAATTGTCTGCAACTATTTGCTCCAAAATGCAATTTATTTGCCTCTGATAAGCGCAAAAATTGGCTAATTATGCGATAACTGATAACGGTTATCGTCAATTGTAATCAGGTGGGTGGCGCATCAAAACTAATTGTTATCAAATGACAAGGTAGCTGAAACAACAAGAAACTAACAGAAGTCCCTTCTACTTATATAAACTTAATTACACCATTAAGAGCGCACTTTAGTTTACATATTTATTGACCATGTTAACTAACAGAATTCAATTCCGCTTATATAAATTTATAATAACATTATTAAAAGCGCGCTTCAATTAACATTTGTGTGCGGCCATGTTAAGGTAGCTGAAACAGCTAAAACTAACGGAACTCTCTTTTGCTTACATATTTTTATTAACAGTATTAGGAGCGCATTTTAATTAACATATTTGTATAATGTTAGTGGCTGTTACGCAAAATCTGTTTTGATTTGATGGCATTATTAAACTGTTAATGGCAAATATCTTCCTTTTAAGTCTTAAGTTTACTTATATCTAGTATGTTTATTATAGATAAATCTTTCTTTATGTAGTATCTTCTCCTTAATAATTCAAATTTGTAACTTATATTACATAAATTAACTTATTTCATTTATATATATTTTACTTTAACTACGTAGTATCTGTCAAAAATGTACACATAGCTCAAACTCAAGCAGTTAAGGTCTAAAAACAATACTAAGTGCAAAGTAAATCATCATTCGTTTGATTGAAGCTACCCCAAGTAAACAACTCCAAGCGAGTAAATGCAAATAAACGTATATGGGGAGAAATGTTAACTAATTGCCCCACGCCCACATAAGAGCGTAAAGAGATATGTGTGAATGTAAATGTGATTGTGAATGTGAATATGAATGGTGAATAAGCGTTCAAATAACCAGCATGACGAATATGCGTTTATCGGGTGCGTTGGTGTCCCGTATGTAAAACTTATCGCCCAATTTGTTTATATATTATGTACTTTTATAAGCATTTAAATATAATACCGTTTCCTGTCAACGTGGTCATGAGTTTCCTACCGATTACTGATTAAAAAATCATACGATTTCTGCATTTGGTAGCCCATTACAGGCTTAGTGAAAGTAATGTGCCATTACATGATTTCGGTATCAGTGTTGGTTAATGGCTTTCGCTGCAGACAATAAAGTCCTAAGCCAAGATTAGCCAAGCTGGATAATAATTAATGAATATGAGTGCTGCCCAGTTAACAAAAACGAAACCATGTTAATCATCATGTTAAATGTGCATATTTAAATATACCCAGCCAGTGTTGGCTAACAACATACACTGCTGCCATGTGCCCTTGGATTCTTCACAGTTGCCTCGCATTGTTACCAGTGACAAGTTTTATTATTGCAAAAACTGCTGATCGAGCTCAAAAGTCCAAGTTTAATTTATATGCATAACAGTAGTTATAAACTTTAAAAGTCAAGTCAAAGTGCAAGTCAAGCAAATTTGACTTACGAATAAGCAACGGGTAAATAATTTATATTAATTTAAATAATAAAGAATAGGACTGTGGATGGTCCATTGAAGCTAATCGGGCAATATATATAATTAGTTGACTATTGATTTACGATGAAATCGGGAACTAGCCAATACCCGGTACCACTTTACTGCGTTGTTATCGCTGTAAGCAAGTTTACATTAGCTTATCGCCTCACTTGTAACGTTTGTGATTCACGCAATTATCACGCCATGCAACTAATACAATAACATATAAACACGTCTGTGTTTAAATATACTGTTACACACTGCGCTGTGTGATAAGCCTCTTCAGATTTCGCAGCCACTGTAAACAAGGGATCATGTCAAAGCTAAGCAACACTATGGAAAGTTCCTGTGAATAAGTGTTGGGCAGACAGAGTTGCCACTTGAACGGAATTATATTACATCAGATGTTAAAATGTACCAGGCCAAGTAGCATTATATAGGTATATTTTGTTATTCATGCTATTCATGTTAAGCCCAAGTGAATAAGAAACGTATCTTGCTTAATATGAAAAATAATGTAAAAGGGTAAAAAGGATTTCCGAATATGTTAAATTCATTAAATAATATCTCAGCTTTTGGTAATTTTGTACCATATTTGGCAAGCCTGAATGGAATATTTTTATCACGCCAGGTCAGGCGCACATTTCGCACAAAAGTGTTAAGATTATATATGTAAATTAACTAAATGCCTGATTGATTACTTTGCACCTACTTTGGGTTGTGCCTAGGTGCAGGGAGTAATAAAAAAAATATAGATAAAAAATACATTAGCGCAGGTCGTATGATTCTAATGTGATTAGTCACACGATTTTTGTTTTCGTTTTATATGCAAAGCGTTGAAATTTGCTTCATACGTCAGAGCCGGAATGTTTACAGTGTTAGCAGCAGCTGTGACGTATGTAAATTTAATAGTGTGGCTTTGCGTTATCAGTTAACAGCAGCCCTAACATCAATGAGAGAGCAACATAATCAAGAGGCCCAATTAGAGAAAGTGACGTGCCGTCAGCAAGTGGCAACTGGCGCAACATGCAGGTCACGCGTCCAATTGGAATTCTTTACTTTGATTAAATGAACTAAGCACTTACCAGCTATTGTGAAGCGATCCATGTAGTTGATGAGATTAACAAAGCAGAGTGTTGCTACAGTAAACCACTTTACGTGGCCCATACGGGCTAAGCGGGATCCGGGCTCATCGACTATGTTATTCCCTCGTAGGTGGTGACGCTCCATAGTATCCGAATCCGATGAAACTAGCTGTTGTGACGAGTATGTCGCAGGTAGTCCGCTCTGAGCAAGTGCGGCAACGTCATCGTTGCTTCCACTGCTGCTACTGCTGTTGCTCATCGCCGGATTATCCATGGCGGCCGCTGCAGTTGGTAGCGGTTGATATGCCGGATGGTTTTTCAGCGACATTCACGTGCCTTGCACAACTCTCTCACACACACACACACACACACGCACGCACGTAAGTTTCCTTAAGCGAATATGGCACCAAAAAGGTTGCGGCAAAAATATTTTGCAGTCGCTCTCTTCCTCTCTCTGTATTTAACAAACACACACAGCACGTCGACGATGCCGCGTAAAATACACGCGATGCACGAATTTGGATAGGAAGCAAGAATGTGAAAATATGTGTTGGTGGCAGATTTCTATTCGCCGCTCGGTCGCTTTAAATACTTTGGCAGCGTTTCAATTCTTTTAGAAAATAACTTGTTCGCTGCACTTGTTGCTCTATTCAATTGGCAATTAATCAACCTTTGCACATTTATTTCATTTATATGTCCACTAATTGAATGCGTCCGTCTGGTTTTTGTATGCAGTTGCGGGGATTCTTTTATACGTTCTTTTATTGTCCGCAACACGTCCGCACTCGCTCAACAATCTTAAACAACTATTCAATCGATATCATTTACCTATGTTAACAGTTTGCTGAACTGTTAATAACGATGAGCTTTAATTGGGTCTGCTGTTATTTAACAGAAATTGCATGCTTCAACATATTTATGACCAGGTGGCAGCGCGTTGTTATCGATAAGTGCGACAATCGGCGCCATGTTTTGAATTACGAACATTTTAACCTATGTGCTTAAAGGTGTGTTGTGTTATTTATTTAAATTATCAAGTGACAATGGTTATTAAAATATTAAATGCTAGTGACTATATATATTATTCAATATCCATTTCATCCAAGCGGCCACGTACACGGTTCTTGCGCTTATGTTTTTTGGTGGGCGGCGGTAAAAAGCTCTCAAGGAACTCGATGGTGCTCAAAATAGTGTCAGAGCTTACATTGCCAATGTGATTTTTGTCAAAATAGACAACAGGCACTACCGGTTCCGAGGAGACCAACTTGTCGCAGCGCTGCTTTAAGGTCTGGGCATCTAGAGTTTCCACATCCGAGTTGTTCGATTTGTCTGAAATCTTAGCTGGGTTAATATACAAGTTGTTGTTGGGCTTGGCAGTAACTATTACCAAAAACCGGCCTAAAACATTCCTTGACCTGTATCCACTTGGTGCAAAAATCCTTTATATAGCTGTCATTCTGCTGAAAGAAAGTTCTCGCGGAGCTATCCACACGCGATCTCAGAAATCCGGGCACATAGGGCCATTTACCCCTCGCGGCATAGAAACACATGATGTCTGAAATGGACACTTATGGACAGACTATCAATGGACCGAAAGTCGAGCCTACTTACAGGGCACTTGAAATATTTGTAGAAAGGCGCGGCGATGCTCCAGACTGGTGATCAAATGTATGCCACTGGGTCGACTACCCTTCAGGCTGGCCGGGCGCGGGGGTGTGCGTTTAAAGGGTATCTCCTCCACCCGCACGCCATTCAAATAGGCCTCGCTCATGGTGAGCAGAAAACCCAACACGAATAGTGGAAATATCCACACGACTAATTTGCGAGCCAATTCCATGCTGCACTTGCTGCCTTGCACTCCGAAATGCGACTGATTTACCCGCAGGATATGACAGACAGGACTCACACAGGACTCGTAATTTATTGATTTTAATTGACATAAATCGCTGGGCATTGCATGTTTTGGCCTAACTCAACCAGCCAATGAACCCCGCCCAGACAGTGCACTGAACTTTGAACCAAATGCAAATGCAAATGCAAATGCAAATGCTTCGACAATATGACTTCACAGAGAATACTAGAATAGTCTGGCAAATATGTCTATTAATATAGTATGAGCTTTATGCTAATCGAAGCTGCAGCAATAAATATTGAAATCGAACTATAACATATGTAGTTCAGACAGACGCAGCCGTAAATAAGCTCAATTGTTTATTAAATCACATTTGGCTGGCATAAAAAGTAACCGCACTTTTATACCCTACACCTGAGCGGGGGGGGTATTACAATTTGTGCACTCGCGATGTTAGCTTGGCAAGTTTATAGAAACTAAAATTAAGATAATTATATTTGTTGTATAAGCTACTTCTTATTGCTAACAGAATATAACAATATACCAAATAAAACACAATTGGTGGTCGCTGGTTCGAACCAGCAAAAGTTTTAGTTCAATTTGTGAATAAACGAAATATTTCAATTTATATTTAAATTTACATAAAAAGAAAACTATTTAATATACTTATTAATTTATTCTTGCCAAATATAAATTAAATAAATTGAATTAATTGTTTTTGAATGTTCACAGAATTCACATAGAGCTCTTTTAACTTGGATATTCGATAATCCTTCGTGAGCTTTATACCTAACATTTTTTTTAAAATCAAGGTTTAACTTTAGTTAAATAAATATATAAAAAATATAAATATATATATAAACATTTATAAATATGTCAACTAAAAATAGTTTCTGCTTTGGAACTAGTTCGAACTTTCAGAACTTTTAAGAGGAGCCTGCCTGTTTTTTTATTATTTATCAACTGGTTTTGAATAAGAGTCAGTTAATCTAGCTTTACTTACTTTTACTTTAGCTGTGTAATTGGGTAGGGTATTTCGGCGTCGACTTGCCGTTGTCTGACTCGTTTCCCTACATCAATGGGCGGCAGATGTCTGGTGACGTATACGCAATGCGAGACTTGTTTTTCTTCTCTATTTTTGTTGTTGCTTACTACTAAACATGCCTTTGCTTGCCATTTAGCGTCTAATAGGTCTAGCCCCCTGGCACGCCCCCTTTATGTTTGCTGGATCAATCGATTCATCAATCGATCCAGCAATGCATCAATCAATCGAGCCATCAATCCAACCCGCTTCGGTGGAGAGAAAGAAAGCCTTCGCTCAAGATCAGGTAACTTGTCCAACAAATGCTAATGAATGTTAATCAAGCACAAGTCAATAATTAAATGACGTTTGACTCAAAGCAGAAGCAACAAAACTGAACCAAATTCATATATACTATATATATATAAAGTAATGTATTCAATGCAATTGTAGAAATTGGTTTGAACCCCAAACGTGGGCACGTGTCAGCGGCAGCTCCATATAAGGCGCCTCTTATCAATGTGGAACACTTTGAAGGCACATATCAGGCGAATACTACGACGATTACTATGCGAAATTCCCAACGAATTACACAGACAGCAATTTGAACTCATTAAAAAACCTATTAAAAAACAAATCGAGCAGTTAGCGCGGATTTCCTTGTTGAAACTATTTGTCATTAAACTTATGATTTTCACCCATATTTCGACCTTAGCGAAAGGTTGCGTAAGTCAATAAAATGTCTATTTAGTGATTTCTTATGTAAAGCTTTTAAAATGAGTTTAAAGAATGTAAAATTTGTACATTCAGTATTCCGCCCAGGCGGCTGGAGATTCCGATTAGAAGCGGATCAGGTTTTAGGCTGAAACCCATTTACAAAAAGTGGGCGTGGATAAAAAATGTTAACAGGTTACACATTTAAATTTGTTTAAAGCCGCACGCATAAAAGAAACGTAGTTTCATTAGTCCATTTCCACTTACATTCCACGCTTGTTTGAGGAATTTGTAAATAGAGCTTAAAGCTGTTTGTTGCTCATCAGTCAATCAATCATTAAATAAAAAATAAATGAAGAATCTTTGATCAACTAAATTGAAGTCGTACGCATAAAAACAACAAACTTTCATAAGTCAATTTCCCACTTATATTCCACGCCTGTGTGAGGAATTGCTGGAATAGGGAAATAGGTCATCAGTCAGTCAATCAGTTAATAAAAATAAATAAATAATTTTCAACAGGCACATATGAAAATTAGCTAAAAGTCGCACACATAAAAACAACAATATTTCATAAGACCATTTTTCACGCCTGTGTGTGGATTTGAATACTGAAAGTGCGTCTTTCATCAGTCAGTCAGTCAGTCAGTCAATAACTAAATAAAAGTAAACAATTAATTTTCACTAAGCACTCATGAAAATTAGTTGAAACGCGCAATCATAAAAGCAACAATATTTCATAAGCCCATTTCCACTTATATTCCACGCATGTGTGAGTAATTGTTGGACTAGGGAAATAGGTCATCAGTCAGTCAATCAATCAGTAAAAATATATAAATAACTTTCACATATGACATATGAAAACTAGTTAAAATTCCCACGCATTAAAAAAACAAAGTTTCATAGTACCATTTGCCACTTATATTCCACGCCTATTCGTGGAATTTTTTAATAGAGTTCAAGCAGTGCGTCGTTCGTCAATCAGTCAATCAGTCAATCAGCACAGCTTGCCTTTATATATATAAACTATATTATATTTCTTAACACTCCTAATGCTAGCTTATAATATTTAATAAATTATAATCTTAATAATGCTTTGGTTCTGCCAATAAATTAGTCCAGAATTTGGCACTTGTCGCGCGAAATCTTTGCGAAACATTCACCTCGAATTGCGGACGATCGTTGGGCGCATTTTGGAACACGTGATGATCGCAAATACCTTCGGGTCGTGCCAGAAGAACTGCTTCCGTGCAGCGCCCAAGCGACTCCACATTTCTGGGCTTACTAAAGGAAAACAAAACAAATCAAAAAGTAAGTTACGACCAGGGCCTTATCTATATGTCTTGGGATCTTACCCGAACTTGGCAAAGTGCACAAAGTAGCCGACAAATGATTGGATGACTCTCGCCTCGGTGGAGTTGCGCTCGAAGTCGGGAAAGAGCATGGGACTGCGGAACAGATAGATCAGATCGTCGCAATGGACCACGCCGTATTTGTTGCCCACATTGGCGCTCGTATAGACGGAGGCATAGCTGCGGGGGCCCACATAGTTGAAGCTGTACAAGTACAGTGGCTCCCGGCTAGAGCGAACGCCGGCCAAATGCTGCCGCACGGCATTGTAAAGCGGCTGCTTGAAGCCCCGATCTGAGATGAGCTGCAGGTAATTGGCAAAAGATTTCATTTGAGTTGGATTTCTTTAAGACTCTCGGCCGTTGCTTACATCGAGGAATCCCTGTACCGTCAGCTCGTTGAGCTCATGCCTGTTCCGGAAGTACTTTTCGCTCACAAGCTGCATCGCCTGTGCCAGCTGCTGGGAGTTGAGCTCCTTGGGCAGCTCGAGCAGCTGCTGCAGCAGCTCGTCAAAGCGTGCATTGAACTCGCGACGCAGCGTCGCGTTCTCCATGATGTTGACCACGCGGACGGCGCCCTCCTCGGGCACGGTGCCCAGCAGCCAGGGCACCGGCCTGTAGCTGCCCTGGGCCAGCAGCGCGTCGGGATGTACGCTGAGGAACGCCTCCTCCTCGGCGGAGCTGTGCTCCACCACGGGCCGATAGTTGGCCATGTGATCCACGTTCCAGAACTTGAGTCCGTCGCCGGCATTCAGCAGCGTCTGCACGTCCACCGCACGCAGAGCGCGCGCCAGCTTGGGCGTACTCAGATTCCGGGCATTTGCCACCTGGCAGAGCGCGGCGGTCTGGCGTGCCTGCTGCAGCGGCTCCGGCTCTATGGCGAAGGGCACATTGGCTGTGCCGCTCATGCTGATCACCTGCTGGAACAGGCCCTCCGACCGGGCGCTTAGCATGTGCATGTGCGTGGCCACGCCCCCAGCGCTTTGTCCAAAAATGGTGACGCGTCGCGGATCACCGCCAAAGGATTTGATGTTGCGCTGCACCCAGCGCAGCGCCAGCTGCTGATCCTTGAGCCCAAAGTTGCCGGGCATCGAGGCGTCCTGCGTGGAAAGGAAGCCCAAGGCGCCCAGGCGATAGGCCATGGTGACCAGCAGCACCTCGCCGGTGTCCATGAAGTATTCGGGTCCGGTGAGCAGCGGCCCGGCGGAGCCGCTGAAGAAGCCGCCGCCATGTATGTAAACCAGGACGGGCAGCGGCTGCCTAGAGCGATGCTTTGGATTAGGAAAAAACTGGATTAGGAAGAGAAAATTGAGATAATATTCCCCCGCTGCTCACCTCCGGCCTGTAGACATTGAGGTAGAGGCAATCCTCCTGGCCATAGATGATCGGCGTGGGCAGCAGATAGTTCTTCTGTATGCAGTCCGGCTTCGGAGCGCTGGCATTGTAAATGCCGCGCAGCTTGGGCATGACTTTGGGATTCTAGAGTGGGCCAGGAGATTAGGATTGGGAGAGAAATGGGATAGAACCATCAACTCACGCTGAAGCGTAGCTCGCCGATGGGCGGCAGGGCGTAGGGTATGCCCAGGAAGGCCTCGAAGCGCTTGATCTGATAGCCCGGCATGTGGATGCCCTTCAGGCAGCCCAAGCTGCCGCCGCACACAATCAGAGCCTTGGGATTAATCCCAAGCTGGCCAGCGGCCAGTTGGAGCAGCAGCAAGAAAAGTGTAGCGAATCCCGCATGAATCATGACGAATGGGCGATGGCTTTTGGTAGTGTCTTCTGTTGGCATCAAATCGAAGACGCATTAATTTTATGCATAGCTCATATAATTTATGTATTCATTTGTTTATGGCCTTAAATGAGCTTCTCTTTTGCCGATGATCTCAACGCGAGATCAATTAGGAAATACCATAAGATAAATGTTCCCACGACCAAAATGGTTTCCTTGGCCAAGACCAAGGGTCTCTCCACTTACCAATATGTTCCCCTCTCTCTCTCTCTCTCTCTCGCTGTCTCTCTCTTTCTCTAGCTCTTTCTCCGGATAACCTAATGAATGTTTAGACGCGAGCTTTTAACGCGACAGCGTACAAAATTTATCTGACGGCTTTGTAAGCCGAAGCATTGAGTTTTATTCAAACAAAAATTAAAAAATGAATAAATAAGAAAAACTTTGTTGTGTCTCAAGAGTGTGTGTGTGTGTGTGTGTGTCACGCTTTTATGTAGATCCAAAGTTGTTGTTGTTGTGCTTCGATATTCAATTGAAATTTATTCAAACAACTCGAACAAATTGTCGCACACACACGGCGTATACTCAATCGACGACACGATCCGAGAATCGAACGGCTCTTAACTTGGCCCGCGTCTGGAACCCGACCTAGAGAAGACCCAAGCGACACTACGACCCGCCAAACGAGTCACTTTCACTTTTATCCTGTTTCGCTTGCGGCGATATGCATAAACGAGTGTATGCCCAAACGAATATATGTAGCTACTCGCATTATATTCTCTTCTTTTGCTGCCTTTTTTTTTATTCTTCTTTTTTCTTTTTGGATACCCTGAACAAATGGCAAATGGTCCAAAAAGGGGGGTATCATGTTTCTGTTTGCGAAAAGTATGTCAAAGGCAGCCGAAAGTATCTTCGAATCCGAAAGTATATATAAAACATGTTTTTCGTTCTAGACGCCTGAAAATTTGACTATTTATTTTTCTATATATTGCTATATACATATACTAAATATTCTTCCATTCCATACAAACTAGTTTATCACTTTTTCTTCTCCTTAAATTATTCCATTTTCATAATATCAATGAAAAACTATTTTAAAAAATGTTTATTTTTAGCATAACTCGAAGATTATAGGAGCTAGATACGCCAAACTTGGCATCTAGGTTTTTGTATAGCTCGTAAAGACTAATATACATTTTACTTCTTTTATAACTTTTCCCATTTCACGCACAATTGGAAAAAATCGTGAATCGTATTTTCACGATTAGAGCCTGGCGCTTAAGTATACACACACTTTTCTACTCCATATTTAAGCACGCAAAATTTCATTAAGATTGGACTATAAACAACGAAGTTATTAAAGAATGCATTTCCTATAGATAGTATGGGGTAATGGGAAGAAGAAGCACGTTTGCTGCATAAAGTGCAAGATAGAAGAAAACTGGAGTGTTTCAGTTGTATTCAGGGTATCTTCCAGTCGATCACTCTCTTCTACTCAGTTCTACTTGTTTTTTTTTTCTCACAGGCTGTGATTTGAGTTGTTCTGATAAGACTTGGGCAAGAGGAGCCCCTTTTTTACTTATATAGTAAGTCGACCCATTTGAGTGGCTCCTCACTTACATATGATTATAGAAACTGTTCTTTTGTGAGAAAAATCGCTTCACTTACATATTACATATGCATGAGATACCGCTGCCTATTTTAATAGGTATACCTTGGGATTAGTTAATATCTGTATCAGCCATAGAACGGGCTACACTGAAATGTTGTTTAAAAACTCTATTATTAACACCTAAAAAAAAAGTGAATAAACAAAACAATGCCAAGTGATAATCGTATTATTTGTAATTAGAGTTCGCATGAAGAGATATTCTACTTATATATCATAATATAATATATATATTAATATATATTCGACAATTTTATAATCCATTTTATTTGCTTTCATTCGACAATTTTATAATTCGTTTTATTTGCTTTTATTCGACAATTTTATAATTCGTTTTATTTGCTTTTATTCGACAATTTTATAATCCGTTTTACTTGCTTTCCAGCATTATTCCATTTTTTTATTTCTATTTTTCTGGCATTATCGTAAGCTGTGCTATTTAACTGACCTGCATTGTAGTTGCCTTACATATGTGGTTTATACTTTCCATTGTGATCGCGCTCTTATAGTTGTATTGTCGCTCCTATAGTTGGACAAAATGTAAATTCATTTGACCTTCGTCTGGACCGAGAACGAGTTCGAATGCAAAATGGGTCATTTGCGGCTGCAGTTTCAGATTAAAATTTCCTTCAGATATGCACATTTAATCAAGCGGCAGGCACATTATCACAATAAATATGTAAGACTCTTCGCTTACGTGAATATATGCAACTGTACTTAGTCATGGCCGGCAGGCGTAAGCGTCTTATCTGCTGATACCCTGCAAACCGAGGAAAGGTATGTTACAAACCAAAAACTCGTCAGCGATGAAAATCTCTGTTAGAAAATCAATGGAAAATGGTTGCATACAACTTTTTGGTCTACCATCCAGACTACATCTTGGAATGGCGCCCCTCTTTGCGATTCTCATGAATTCAAGTAAGTATTAAAGGTTTTCATGCTTTGAATTTAAGTGTTTATTTAATAAGTTGTGCTGATAATCAAGATACATTTTCCCAACATATACTCTCTTTTCTCTCCCTCTCTCTTTCTCTCCCTTTCTCTCACTCAATTTCTATATATCTATCTCATTGTATTCCCTTTCCCCTCTTAGTCTAATTTGTGTTCTTCTTTCCGTGCTCTGTATATATATAGAAGTATGATTCTATAGTCGTGTCTACTCCAAAAATGATATATTATTTAAGTATAAAGCTTCTTCCACAGGGCCAAGGCGCGCATATCCACACGTCTCTCGACTGTCTCATGGTAGGCCCCATTCAGCTGTCCAAAACGGAAATAGTTGCATATTTCATCCGAAGTAAACTTCTCAGCTGTGCAGGGTAGCAATTGGGTATCATCAGGTAGGATACTAAAGGTAAGTGAAGAAAGGTGAGAAAATAGAGATATGGATATAAATATAAAGGTAGATACATATAAGGACATAGATATAGATAACGATAAGATATTGATGGGAAAATCTACATGTAGCTTAAGATGATGGATAGAGATATAGATATAGATATAGATATAGATATAGATATAGATATAGATATAGATATAGATATAGATATAGATATAGATATAGATATAGATATAGATATAGATATAGATATAGATATAGATATAGATATAGATATAGATATAGATATAGATATAGATATAGATATAGATATAGATATAGATATAGATATAGATATAGATATAGATATAGATATAGATATAGATATAGATATAGATATAGATATAGATATAGATATAGATATAGATATAGATATAGATATAGATATAGATATAGATATAGATATAGATATAGATATAGATATAGATATAGATATAGATATAGATATAGATATAGATATAGATATAGATATAGATATAGATATAGATATAGATATAGATATAGATATAGATATAGATATAGATATAGATATAGATATAGATATAGATATAGATATAGATATAGATATAGATATAGATATAGATACTGATATAGATATAGATATAGATACTGATATAGATATAGATATAGATATAGATATAGATATAGATATAGATATAGATATAGATATAGATATAGATATAGATATAGATATAGATATAGATATAGATATAGATATAGATATAGATATAGATATAGATATAGATATAGATATAGATATAGATATAGATATAGATATAGATATAGATATAGATGTAGATGTAGATGTAGATGTAGATGTAGATGTAGATGTAGATGTAGATGTAGATGTAGATGTAGATGTAGATGTAGATGTAGATGTAGATGTAGATGTAGATGTAGATGTAGATGTAGATGTAGATGTAGATGTAGATGTAGATGTAGATGTAGATGTAGATGTAGATGTAGATGTAGATGTAGATGTAGATGTAGATGTAGATGTAGATGTAGATGTAGATGTAGATGTAGATGTAGATGTAGATGTAGATGTAGATGTAGATGTAGATGTAGATGTAGATGTAGATGTAGATGTAGATGTAGATGTAGATGTAGATGTAGATGTAGATGTAGATGTAGATGTAGATGTAGATGTAGATGTAGATGTAGATGTAGATGTAGATGTAGATGTAGATGTAGATGTAGATGTAGATGTAGATGTAGATGTAGATGTAGATGTAGATGTAGATGTAGATATAGATATAGATAAACCCACCCGTTCTTGGCAAATTCGACCAATCTGGAAGTCAAGCGTTTGATAACCAAATAATCCTCCGAGCTCTTTGGAAAGTCCAGCATCAGCATCGGCATGCGTATTGAGTAGAGGGCGTCATCCATGTGGCTTGCACCCAGCTGGTCGTAGAGGATGCCACCCGTGAATATTACGGCATACGAGAATGTTGCTGAGGTACTCGAAATTGTAGATTGAGACGGGTTGCTTTGAAAATTCAGCATAGCTGGCGGCGCTCACAAACATGGGATAGACGAATGTGAAATCCCCGAGAATGCCCGAAAGCGGAGCTAACGTATTCTCATTCAATTCCATATCCTGCACGCCGTACACCTTCAGTATATCCCGCACCGTTTGCTCGGTTGAGCCCTTGGGCAGATAGAGCAGCGAGCCGTAAAGTTCCAAAAAGTTGTCATTGAACTCCTTCCGCAGCTGCGGATTCGCAAAGGTGTGCAGCAGGAACATGGAGCCTTCACCCGAGCGCGAGGTGCTGCCCAGCAGCCAGGGCACCTGATTGATGCGCCCGCCCAGGTGGGCAGCATTCGGATACTCGTTCATAAAGGACTCGGGCGAGTCGGCCTGCTCCACAACCAGACCGTAGTTGACTATGGGCAAGTTGTCCCACTGCTTGAAGACATCTCCGGCTGTCACCAAATCCATTGCATCAATCCGGCGCAGAGCTGCGGTTAGCGCCTGGCTGTCCAGGCTCTTGGCCTGTGCCACGCCCACGCTCTCGGCGAGCTGTCGGGCCTGGGGCAGCGGATCGTAGACCAGGGTAGTCGCCATCATCGCTGTGCCGCTCAAGGACATGGCGCGCTGAAAGAGTCCTGCAAGGCGAAAGGCAAGTCAAACGGAAGTTGAGGTCCACGGCAAAAGACTCACCCTTCGAACTGGGACTCAGCATGTGCAGATGCGTGGATATGCCGCCGGCACTGTGCCCAAAGATGGTCACCAGGCCCGGATCGCCGCCAAAGGAGGCGATGTGCTGCTGCACCCACCGAAGCGCCAAGCGCTGATCCTTCAGCCCGAAATTGCCGGACATGTGCGCATCGCCAGTGCTCAGGAAACCTAGGGATACGCAATTAACACGGAAGTTCAAATGCATCGATAATTGTCTCACCAAATGGACCCAGGCGATAGCTGATCGTGACCACAATGACCTGCTGTGTGTCCATGAGGAACTCCGGGCCGCTGGCCAGCGGGCAGGCAGAGCCGCACAGGAAGCCACCCGAGTGAATGTAGACCATGACGGGCAAGGGATGCGCACTTTGCTTCTGCAGCGGGAACAGGCTGAAGAGTATCTACAAATTTATATCAACTTCTACTCACAGCAGGTCTGTAGACATTCAGGTAGAGGCAATCCTCCTCGCCGGAGACGGGCCAGGTGTCTATGAAGTAACACTTTTGCAGGCAATGACTGCGTGCCGCGCTGGCATCCAATACGCCCGTCCAGCCACGGGCAGCGACCGGATTCTGCAGGAATTATAACCGTCAAGTTAGCCAATTCAACATCTTTGGAATGCGGTTCACCTGGAAGCGCAATTCTCCCACGGGCGGCTCGGCAAAGGGTATGCCCATGAATGCTTCGAACTGCGCCTGCTCCTGCTTGTATCCTGGCATTAGGATGCCGCGCAGGCAGCCCAGCTCCTTGAGGCACACATCCAAATCAGCAGCTGCTCCAGCTGCCAAGACCACGAAATAAATACCACACAAAATGCTCCGCATCTCGTTTAGCTTTGCCAAATAGACACATTAACTAATCTATTAGCTCGCTTTTATAGGGCTGACAATTGCATGTTTATTCCTCGCAAGGGGGGCGTTCGTCGGGTGAGCGCATCAACAATTTAAGCAAATACTGTGATTAACCTCAAATACTTATTAACTATTTAAAATCGATGTACTGTAAAGGCCAAACAAAATAAATATATATATATATAGTATACTAGCAATAAATATTGTATAGGTTCTATACAAATCTTAAAATAGTGAGCTTAAATGGAACAAAGAGTATAACAATACAAGTATTTCGTACGAAGGCATATATGTATGTAAGTATTATATAAATGTGTGTGTGTGCCTGTGTGTTAGTGCATGCATGTATGTATGTGTGCATTTATGAATATATTTATACATATTCTTGTTTGTTTTCTAATACCAAACGCAAGCCAAGCTTACTTTTCGCTGTGCTGCAAATTGAAATAAAACGAATTTCCACCAAGTGCTCTCCTCCTCGATTCTCAAGAATTCAAGTAGGCTCTTCAGTTGTTCATGCTTAACTAATAGTGTTATGTTTTTTTTAGTGTTTTTGTATATACATATATATGAATGCATGTTTGTATGTATGTATGTATGTATGTATGCATGAATGTGTACATGTATGTGGGTAACCCGGCATGTATTCACACATGTATGCATGCATGCATGTTTGCATATACACAAAACATACATGCATACATGTATGAACAAACATGCATATGTATATACTATATATGCAATCTCAAACTATAAATTTCCACACCCTTCAAATAAATTTGTAGGAAAGATCTTTAATAAATTTTTTGTTGCCGAATAAAAAAGTTTCATACAAAGGTTTTTCCCTTCGATTTTTCCACACTTGCTAGTGGAATTTCCCGAAACCGTGTCTTAACGTGCACCTTCATCACATAAGGTTATCTACAGTGAAAATTTAAGCTTCATAGCTCTTCCGGTATATGTAGGCTGTGCGCTGATCAGCTATCAGTCAGGGCAAACAGTATAGAGATTACTTCAGTTAATAGAGTTTGAAGTCTAGAGGTGCATTACCTATAATTTTGGCATATTTAAGCAAATTCCTACAATTTTTATTGGGATGATTGCACTAATCCTTATTCGTGTCAAACGGGTCAATCACAACAAAGTAATTTTTATTTTCAATCAAAAACTTTACTGTATTTGCGTAAATTGTTTGGTTTACAGTAAAGACGCCGCCAACCAAGCAGCCACTAATTATAGACTTAGTACAAAGTTGTCGATTATCACTAAACACGCATCCATACAAAAGAGACTTATCAGCTACGAGTTACAAATAGATCTATGTGAATGAACTAACAAAAGCATGTTTATATATATTATGTCTAGAACTGAGAGTTAAATGGGCGTCAGGCTGCGTCGCTGCGCTGCACTCAAGTCGGGATGCCAAAGGTCCAGGATGAGCACCAGGCGTAGCTGTGTCCCGTTGTGCCAGACCTCATGCTCGAAACTATCGTCAAAGATGAACAAGTCGCCCTCGTGCCAGGTGCTGTGCGGGGCAGAGAGACCAGAAAAATCGATTAGTCGGCTTAATAACAATTAAGAATAACAATCGTAAAGATAGCCTTCCTATGCGATTCTCACCAACTTAAATACTCAATATTAACTTCAAATTAAATATCAAAATTTTAATAGACATAGATATTGTATTATCAGATCTATTATAATCAATATTTAAATTTAAACAACAAGTAAATATATCTCCCTTCTATGCGATTCTCATTAAGTAAAACTTTAATTTGAAAATGCTTCTCCTCAGTTTGATTATAAATGTCAAAAATATACTGGACTGGAAGTTATCATGTTTTCAGATCAATTAAGTAATAATAACGCCCTGCTATGCGATTCTCATGAATTCAAGTAAGTTTTACAGACTTTCAGTGTTTCAGTATTTAAAAGTATTTTTGGTTTGAGCACAGATAGTCTGTTTACAGATTTGTAGAAGCCTAAGTCGCATTCCTATGAGGCGAAAATTCTGATGAGTAGTCAAAAATACCCTGTAATTGCGTCGAAAGTACTTCGTAAAACAATTTGCAGCGTATAAAAATGCTTCAGTGATTATTAAAATACACTGTACGCAGGTATTAAGTGGTATATTGTGTGTAGGCCAAAAAATATGAACTAAGTTAACTAAAAAATACCCTATATTTTGCTTAAAAGTGAGCAAATTAATGCGTATGAACTATAAGATGTCCTGTTTCCGTATACATTTTACATAGATATTAATTTATTGAGGCTATGAGTAAACTTTTCACCTGTTACATATTGCCGGACAAGTTTAACATACCCTTTTAACCATTATTATTAATTGTAAGCAAACTTACCGCTGATGTTCGGCCACGCGCAAACTGGTCAACTGTGGCTCCGGCGCGACCAGCGTGAGATGAGCGCGCAGTCTGCAGTTTGTGGGTCCACAGTGTGGCCAGACATGCGTCTGGGCCTGCATGGCGCTGAATTTGATCTGGCCACGGCGACAGCTGCTGGCGGCAGGAAACTTGTCGAGCAGCGCGCAGGTGACGGGCGCCCGTTGACAGTTCCTCTCCAGACGCTGACCGCGGGCGTAGAGCTCGTACTGCTGCCAGTTGCCCGTGTCGCGCAGCTGTTCTGCCTCAAGCTGAAAGTTGCCCTGGCCGCTGAGCAGCGCCAGCGCCTCGGCGCGTATGGCACGCCAGTTGCGCTGCAGTTGCTCCAGCTGGTCGGCCTGGCCGGTCTCTGCGGGCTGCCAGAAGGGCTTGGCACGCAGCCCGGGCACATTGTAAAGCGAGCGTTGATAGACGCTGGCAAAGAAGCCCCTGTCCGCGCCACGCCGATACAGCTGGAGCGCCTGCGTCTGCCGGCCCAGACGCTGCAGTGTCTCGCCCAGCGCCAGATAGAAATACGGCTCCTGTGTGCCCGCCGCCTCGGAGTCAATGGCCCGCTGCAAATAGGGCAAGGCGCCGGCAAAGTCGCCCCCAAGCTGCTTGAGCGCCAGGCCAAAGTGCAGCTGCGCCTGGGGATCACGCGGCCAGCGCTCGAGGGTCTCAGCTGCCACCTGTTGCAGCTTAACCAAGCTGCAAGGAAGCAAAAGAGCTGCAGTTAAGCTGCGTTTAATGAGCATAAAGACAACCACAACACACCCACTTATTGGACATCAGATGGGTGAGCGAGAGCTCATTGCGCAGCTGCGCCTCCGCCGGATAACGCGCCAGCAGCTGCTCGTGTATGCCAACCGCCTGCTGTGTGCGACCTGTGGTCAGTTCCAATAAGGTTAGATCTCTCTCCCCCTCCCCCTCCCCCCTTCTCTCTATCTTGGACTCACCCAGAAATCGGAGATGCCGTATGCAACGCTCGCCCGCTGCACGATAGTCGCTGTCGCTGGCGATCAGCTCCTGGAAGGCCAGATAACGCTTGTAGGATTCGATGGCGTCCAGGAGCAGCTGATTGCTCTGGCGCAGCTCGGCGATGCGCTCCAGCGCCCGCGCCCGATGCAGATGAGCCGCCGGCTTGTGTGCGTGTGTGTGTGTGAGCGTGTTAAAATCGCGCAGACCTTTCGCATAGTTCTGGGTGTTAGGTTTTTAGATCGGACGAGGGGTATTTTTTTTTTTTTTTTGGTTAAGAATAACATGCAAAATAGAGCGTAGATTAGCAAAGGAGTAAAGCATTAACGAGACGACTAGCAAATACCCTGTAAACAGGCTTACATTCAAATGTTAACACACAGATATTATTATTGATAAAGGGTTAAGTGGGAATTGAACCTGATAATATATAGCAGAAAAACTTAACTAGCATAAATTAGGTTTAAAATTTATCCTAAATCAAATTTCAAATTCTTTTAAAACTCTTGTTTCCTGTTTTAAATATGAATACTCAAAATAAAGCCAACTCTAAAAGTTCTTGGTTCCGGAATTCAGTAAAATTGTAGTTTAAAATCAGGGCTGCAAAAAATTTGTCGTTTGTTTCGGTTCCCGTTTTGAACCAAATTTTGGTTCGTGAACATTTTAATGAAGAAATTCATTTTTAATTTACAGCTGCCCGTTGTACTGAAAATATTGCAAGTCTTAAATATTCTCCACACACAAAATGTGGGCTAAATTTTAAGTCTACCCAAACTTGGCATCTAACAAATATGGTTAGATAAATGCAATGTTTGGGAGCAAAGTTATTTAACAAACGGTATTTCTTATTTTAAACCAAAACATTTTCGAGTAAATTTATAGTTTGTCTTATGGCTCAGCTGTTTTTTAAGTTCCAATTTCAAAACTAGTTTGCAGCCCTGTTTCAAAATACTCAATTTTCGAACTGATTCCAAAGTACGTATTGGGCTAAGCTTGAACTAAGAAGAACTTCGTTTAAAAAAGCAAATAATTCTTAGTTCAAATTTAAAATGTGAATTAAACTAAAAATATGTAATTTTCAAAAATTAGAAAATACTCAAATTTTAGTTTTTTAGTTGATAAAAATAAGTTCTTTTAAAAAAACACAGTTGCCATGGGACTGGCTGCAATTGTAGGTGGGTGTGTCTAGATCTTGCAGCAGTTTTTATCCCTAGTCCTATGGCAAATATGTTTTTTCTTTCTTCAAATATAAATCCTTTGCCTACAAGATATTCCTAAAAATTCTTCAGTTAATAAAGTCTTATAAGCTAAGCACAAGAACTTAAAAAGCGAACATTAATTAAAGCTATGAAAGAAGTTTTGTTTAATGTTTTGTGTGTTTTAGCGATTGTTGAGCTAAGTTCAAGAGAATTTCAGAGATCTTAAAGTAGAGTTACGCAGAATTTGTCATATTTGCAAACTAACCTCATTGATCATTTCGGCATTGGCCTGACGCAGTTCCTGCTCGAACAGAACATCCTCCACAGACTTGGCGCCAGTTGGCTCCTTGGGTTTTATTTCTGAGAAGAAATCGATATTTAAATAAATTTTAAACCTTTTTTTAAAATTCTCTTAAGGTAAGCATTTAA